CCTATTAGATGTCAGGACCGTTTTAGACGTTGCAAAGTTCAATGACGCAAAGATAAACGAACATTACGAGGGAAAAAAGTTACAAATTAATTTTAAATGCATATTTGTTGTATATTTAAGTTTTAGAGTTATAGCTTTTCATTGAATTGAAATAAAACATTGTACATTTTGGTGCTCCTAGAGTATTGAAAATACATATTATGTATTCTTACACGCGGTGAAAAGGTTTTGCGTCTATTATAGACAGTTGAATGTCGTGGGTTTGTAATAAATTTTATAAGGAAATTGACACTGTAAAAATTTAATCACATGTATATTTAGAAGCCCATTTAGGACCTATCAAAAAATATTTTTGAATTCGATATAACGAATTGTTGAATTTGTTATAATGAATTTAATTAGTTATAACAGTTTCTTTGAAATTGTTATAATGAATTAAATCTGTTATAACAAATTTATTGAATTCGTTCAAACAAATTCAAAAATTTGTTAATAATAATTAAACTTGTTTTAACGAATTCTAAAATTTGTTATAACGAATTGAATTCGTTTAAATGAATTCTTTAATTTGTTATAACAAATTAAATTCGTAAAACGAATTCGACAAATCGTTATATCGAATTCATATATATTTCTCTATAGACCTTGATTGTTGAATTTGATTAAACGAATTTAATTCGTTATAACAAATTTAAGAACTTGTTTAAACGAATTTAATTTGTTATAACAAACTTTAGAATTTGTTATCACGAACTTAATTTGTTTTAACAAATTTTTTAATTCGTAGAAACGAATTAACCACCAAATTTGTTATAACAGATTAAATTCATTATAACAAATTGAAAGAAACTGTTATAACGAATTAAATTCGTTATAACAAATTTACAATTCGTTATATCGAATTCAAAAAATATTTTTGATAGGTCCTACATGGTAAATGGGCTTCCGTAATACGTTTATTTTACCTGTGTAAACAAATGTCAAATATATATTTTTGTCCTTATTTTAAATTTTTTTTTTTTTTACTTATTTTATTATTATATAATTTAATTCGGTTGTAACGCTGTATTTGATTGGATAAAAAATTTACTTTATATCGTATAAAATGGGTTGCCTACGTCACAATGACTAGCGTCAAAAACGTATCAATCCGCCTGACGTTACATTCAAATTTTGTACAAATTGAAGTAATTTTGTTTGTACAATAATCGTTTTTTCTTACATTAAATGAATTAAAATTAAATTATAAGCATATATAATTATTTTATACTGTGTGTATAAACTGGGTCAAAAAGTTTACGCTTTTTTATAAACCGCTTCGCGGTTTATAAAACTTTTTAATAGTTTATACCTATAAAATGTTTGTTATTCCTTAAGTACTGAATCAAATATGTCTGTGTAAGTAACTGTGAATATTAACGTTGTTCATAATATGGATCGTAATTAAAATATATTTCGATAGAATGAATTTTTATTAAAATAATTTAAGGAAAGAATTTTTATGACATCTAACTGCCAAAAGCATTAAGCACGGTGAAATGATTCCGAAATGACAGTTTCTTAATATGACTAAATTAATGCTCTTCTTAGGAAAGAAGACTAGTAAATCTATTTTTATATAACTTTTGAAAAAAGAAAAATGTGATGGGTACTTTATTTCAAATTAATTTTCAAAACAAAATGAATGTTATCCTGATTCAAATTTTACTACACTTAAGTTCTTAGATTTTAAGTCTCGGTATTGACGAAAAACATCTATCAATCAAGAATGAGATCCGACAATATTTCCATTTCTATTTATTTCTCTGTGATAATTCTTTTGAAAGTTAGATTATTTGATTTCTTGATCATTCTTCTGGTATGTAAATTCCGTCAAGTGATACGTCAGGAGCATATAAATTCTTGTACATGTGCGTTTGTCTTTATGTCTGACGTCAGTGGGCGGGGACGATTGAAATGGGTGGCCTCGTGTAATTTTCATCTATTAGTGTACATTCTAATAATCTAAATCTACAATTTTATTTCATCATGAAATGGAAATATAATGAATCAAAGAACGGAAAGGATTTGCACATTCAGCAGTTTTTACTAGCTAGTGTTTAGCGCTTCCTTATTAAATTTTTCGATAATTGTTATGCGAGAATTGGAATAGTTTACGCACATCCCCTTGTACCTATTAGTAGTATACATGTATTGTGTATATTCAAGAGGAGAAAGTATTAACTCTGATGCAAGCGTTTCGGAGTTTATTTGCAGAGTTTATTAATTACTATAAATACATGTATAGATTTTCTTTCGTGGCCATAATTGCACAACTTAAAGTAGAAATTGTAAACTGTCTTTCAAATTTTTAAGGAAATCTACTTTTGATGAGGTGTGGGTGTGTGATAATATTTCCTTTTATGTTTCTCAAAAGTAATACAGATTAATGAATGCAACATTTTTTAGAAATAAAAAGCTTGAAGAGAATGTGAATTAGCTAGAATTTATAACAATGTATTAATGTAATAAATTCTAATATATAAATATAATTATATAAAATATTATTTTTAAATGGGAAAATAATTCTAGGCATCGAACTTTTAGTTGAAATGAGAACCGAACTGGGGGTATAAAAAAAAGTGGTAAAGCAATAGATGAGTATGAATAATGTATGTATCTATTATATTGAAAGTAAATGTAAAAAGAATGGAGGCGTACAAGGCGAGGACTATCCCCCGCTCTGAGAAAAGACATTTCGCAATCCAAAAAGTTCATGAAAGCATTTTTTTATTATATGATTTATATCATCTTTTACACATTTAATTCTGTATTTCATTGTTTTAATATTTTTATTGATAATTTATTTTTTCACTCATGTTTTTATGATATGTGAAAACAAAAAAAAAAAACAAAAAGCTTCACGTATGATTTGAACTCTCTCCATAGCGCAGGGTTTGGTCCAAAACTGACCGCTTTAACCACTACGCTACGAATTACATGCATTAATTACTATAATACAATATAATATGAGTACATGTATAGATTTTCTTTCATGGCCATAATTGCACAACTTAAAGTAGAAAATGTAAACTGTCTTTCAAATTTCTAAGAAAATCTATTTTTGACGAGTGTGGGTGTGTGATAATATCTCCTTTTATGTTTCTCAAAATTAATACAGTTTAATCAATTCGACATTTTTCAGAAAGAAAAAGAGAATATGAATAAGCTACAATTTATAACAAAGTATTAATGTATTAAATTCTAATATATAAATATATATAAAATATTATTTTAAATGGGAAAATAATTCTAGGCATCGAACTTTAACTTGAAACGAGCCGGGGGCATAAAAAAAGTTGTAATGCAATAGATGACTACGAGTAATGTATGTATCTATATTTTTAAAGTAAATGTAAAAATTTACGACTGAAAGCTACGGAAGCGTATTAGTGCCACTTGGACACTCTATTTTTTTATTTCTACACTTTAATCTGTAAATTTTACACTTAAATCTGTAAATTTCACACTTTAATCTGTAAATGTTACACTTAATTCTGTAAATGTGACACTTTAATCTGTAAAATTTACACTTTAATCTGTAAAATTTACACTTAAATCTGTAAAATTTACACTTTTATCTGTAAAATTTACACTTGAATCTGTAAAATTTATACTTTAATCTGTAAATTTTTCACTTTGATCTGTAAAATTTACACTTTAATCTGTAAAATGTATACTTTAATCTGTAAAATTTACACATTAGTCTGCAACCGCTAAATCAAGTACAACGCTAAATCTTGCACGTATACACATAAATAAGAAGATGAAAAAATGCGCTAAATCAAATCTACGCTAACTTATTCAAAAGTCAATTTCCGCCAAATATCGTACACGATAATACATTTACAGTATATGATAAATAAGGATAGGTGATTTCCACATGGGCCTCGTAATTTTTCCCAGCAAAATACCGGGTATCGTAAATATGCTTTCAATCCAGTATATTTCTTTAGTTGTACTATATAGTGTAACGACCAGTAAAAATATACATCTCAAAGATTTTTTTTTCTTTTTTGCAGTTCAGATTGATATTGCAAGTTTATGGGTCTATGAATATGATGATATAAAATATAACAATAAAATTACAGTGACCGTCATTTTTGAACGTGGCAATAAAGAAACGTCATTGAATCAAAGGATAAAAATTTCTTTACTGTTCCAAAATTAATATTTACTCATAAATATTAATATAAACTCATATACATTAATTATTTTTATATGTTTATGCTTTACTAATTAATATATTATTTGGTTATTTAAAAGAAATCAATTTAACAAGTAATTCAGTTCTTGCCGGTTATACATATGTAATACAATTAATGCTTTCTATAATTGGGCTGCTGAACTAGCGTATTTAACGACTTAGCGTATGATGATATCAATATTATATTCGTTGTGAATATATGCATGTGTGTTTGATTTGCTCTTCACTATTATTCTAAGAAAGTCTTACTTGTATCAGTCATACTAATTTGCTTATTATTTGCATTTATTGTTAAAATAAAAAAAACAGAATTAAATTTTGTCGTGCATGATTCATGGTTTGTTGGCTTTAAATATGTTACTTATGATTATGAAGCTGCAAAATTGACTATTTGAATTAATTAGATGTGTAAATTTTACTCTTAACGGTGTCAATTGTACTCTTGAATATGTAATTTTTTAATTTTACAATATAAAGTGTAAATTTTACGGATGAAAGTCTACATTTTACAGATTAATGTGTATATGTTACAGATGAATTTGTACAATTTCCTGATAATGTGCAAACGTTACAGATTAACATGTAAAATTTAAGATTAAAGTGTAAATTTTACATTTACATTTTTCTTCTGTAGAACGCATCATGTCAACGAACTCAAAGAACATTTTTTTAATGACTATGGTAATTTCTTTAAATAAACAATAAATCCCTCTATATTGAAAAGAGTATATCCGTAATTTTGAATTTCTTTGTACAGTCAAAATTCCTCTTTAAAATAATTTATTTTTAAAATTAAAATTTGGTTACTAACCACTATCGATTTACTCGTTTTCCCTTTTTGTACATATTTGTACCTTTTGGATTATTCTTTTCAAAAATGGCTTTAGTACATCTAAGTGCATCAAAACAAAGAAGTATTGCTGCAATTATACATAGTATTACAATTCCAATGAGACCAACGTTTTTAGCACTAGGCCTGAGATCTTCAGCACATGTTTTCTTTCTTACGGCAGAAGACAGAGTAGATGTCTCCAATCGTAATTTTGACACAATATTCTCAATTTTTTCTTCCAAAGTTAGATTTGTTTCAGTACACACACATACACAAGAAGAAAAGTTGTATACATATCCATTACTCATTGAAGTATTTGACTGAAGAGCATTTGTTGTTGTTTCTGATGTTAAGTCAGTTGTCTGTGCACCATCTTCTGTTGTTGATTCTGATGTTGAGTCGCTCGTCTGTTCACCATCTATTGTTGTTGATTCTGATGTTGAGTCACTTGTTTGTGCACCATTTTCTGTTGTTGTTTCTGATGTTGAGTCACTTGTCTGTGCACCATCTTCTGTTGTTGATTCTGATGTTGAGTCACTTGTCTGTGCACCATCTTCTGTTGTTGTTTCTGATGTTGAGTCACTTGTCTGTGCACCGTCTTCTGTTGTTTTCTCCGTTGTTGTTGGATTTATCGTTTCTGTCTACAAAAACACCATTCACTATGCTTTTTAAGCTCATCAAAAGAGTATTTATGTTAATGACTGACAGTACCGTTCGTGGTTTTTCCATTTTTAAATTCATTTCCAGACAGTCCACAAATATTATCAATTTTTTCTACAAAGCATCTTTTCAAGCAAGAAGATTTAATGCAATTAAATTCCTGTATTACAAATTGATTAGAAGATTACTTCCCCCTTCCAAAAATATTATAAAGAAAAAGGAGGGAAAAAGAGTCAAAGAAAAATAAAGATGAAGATAATTTACTGTGATCAATTTAAAACAATATACAAACAATATAAATCTTTGAGCAGGATATAAAACATGGACAACAAAAGTTCAAGCAAAAGGGATCAAGTTTCTTGAATGAGTAAGCATCCCAATGTTGACTGGCCACATCCGCTATGACCAAGAAGACTGAACATTCAAAGGCCTTTACAACTGATATATATGAAATACGTCAGCTAACAAAAAAGATCGGAAAGGAACAGGGTACAGTTTCAATACAAATAAAGCCCTGTATTTTTCAAAAATATGAAAGTGATATAAGAAATCAAAATTCATTCTTTCTGATTCATAGGAATTCCATGAAGTTAGAATACACAAATCGTTTGTCTCACAGGGCAAAACCAATATATTTTGAAATACCCAGTCAAAATTTATGGGCAAGGTTAAACTTTTTGTAGAAAATGGATAGACAGACGGATGAACAGGGCAAAAACAATATAACATCGATTACGGGGGCATAAAAACTCTTCTTCAATTAAAGAATAATTGGCCATATATTACAAATGTGATTTAGATTTTGTTAACTTACCGTTGTCTCCCCAGCAATGGTTGTAGTTATTATAGGTGAGCCAATAGGTAGGCTACACAACTCCTCCTCACTTAAACCTGGTATGAATCCGTAGTAATGGGAATGGTAAATATACTCTGAAATAGCATACCAAAGAAAAATTAACTTTCTTTCAGACTGTGATTCGTACATGATTATAACTAAAATATTGTAAAATTAATGTAATATGCATTATGACTTGCATTGTAGGCTTTAGAATATACGTAATTTGAATAATTTATTCCTGACTGAAAGTCCATGGTATGCCAGAAAAATAATTTTGCTTTTAATTGTCAAATAAAGATATCATACAGTTTGAAATATATGCCATCGAGAAATGATTTTGCTAATGACAATTGATCATATGAAGATATTCACAGATATATACACTTTTCGTTATATAAATACATGTTTCATATTGGGATATTAGTACTTTACTGGGGAAAATGTAGTTGTAATCTGACGACAAAGCATTTTGATATAGGTGATGACTTTCGCTTTTCTATCGTCAACTTCATTTGCTTAGATATATACACTTTTCTCCTACATATATAGTTTTGTCTCCAAGGGCATGCTCTACGTATGAAAATTTCTTTAAAGAGACAAGCTATAACAACAATTTCTCTTGAAGTCGTCATTTTGCAAGCTCTATGGTCTATACAATGACCTTGTTAGCAAATACAATCCGTCATTTAGTCGCCCGCGTGGCGCAATGGTTAGAGCGTCTGCTCCGGAGTGGAGAAGTAAGGAGCTGATCCTTACGTCGCGGATTTAAATGCCTGGAGACCGGTCCTTCGGATGAGACCCGTATGAACCGAGGTCCCGTGTCGCGGGATCAATTATTATTTGAACGTTTACTTACTTCGATGATATATGTAGGTTGAGTTAAAAATGCTGCCTGGTAAAATACTTGGCATATCGGTGTCGTATATCAACGTAGTACAAGATGTCTCCAACGAAATGTAAATTCCCGCGCAATCGTCTTCTGATAAACAGGAAGAGGCACAATCACTTGATGTTGCTGATTCAGCACTCTCATACCCCATACTCTGCAGGGGCACCGACATCTTTGTAAAACATGAATCGGACCCTATATAATGTTATACATGTATTTACTTTTTGAATTAAAATATAATAATTTACATTTAGGATATAAATTTATACAACCTGAAAGCCATGTAACTATAGATACTTATTCTGAATAATCAATCATACATGATATAAAATACTTTGTTTAGTGTATTCACTTGAAAACTTTTTTCGATATTAATTTAACATTTAAGTTAAAAATAACTACAAGGACATTAAATTACCTTCAATAAATGCATGTCTTTTTTATTTTGTGATCAAATAGGTACAAATTTTTCTTTAATCAGAGGGTAACATTATCTTACTGGCAGGGTGCTCGCACACAAATCCCATGGTGTTTACATCTGAACACTGAGTTAACTCGATGTCTTCCTCCGTTAAATCCATGTATCCACATCCTTGTGCCCCAGTATAAGAACTCAGGCTCTGAAATGTGTCAGTAGCGGAAGGGTCCGGCACGCAGTCTCCCCACTGATACTCAGGCACTAAGCCACTCTGTGATTCCATGCGTAAACCGACCCAGTATGACCTAAATATGTAAAATTACATTGTAAACCAACCTAGCATGACCTAAAAATGTAAAATTACATCGTAAACTAACCCAGTATGACCTAAATTGTGTAAAATTACATCGTAAACCACCTAGTATGACCTATATATGTACAATTACACCGTAAACCGACCCAGTATGTCCTAAATATGTAAATTACATCGTAAACCAAGCTAGTATGTCCTAAAAAAGTAAAATTGTAAAATTACATCGTAATCCAACCTAGTATCACCTATAAATGTAAAATTACATCGTAAACCGACCTAGTATCAGCTACATATGTAAAATAACATCGTAAGCCAACCTAGTATGACCTAAATATGTAAAATTACATCGTAAACCGACCTAATAAGACCTAACAAGATACCCATGGGCCACATCGCTCACCTGAGGAGCTTTTACCATGCTGTTCTTTACCAGATTTCCCCCTTGTAATACCTAATGTGACCCCACCCTACCCCAAGGGTCATAATTTGGACATTTTAAAATCTACACTACGATGCTTCCACATACGTTTCAGCTTTTCTGGTCCAGTGGTTCTTGAGAAGAAGATTTTCAAAGATTTTTCCTATATATTTCTATGTAAAACTTTGATTCCCTATTGTGACCCCGCCCTACGCCCTTTGAACAATTTAGAATCTACACTAAATCAGGATGCTTCCACATAATTTTCAGCTTTTCTGGCCCAGTGGTTCTTGAGAAGAAGATTTTTAAAGATTTTTCCTATATATTGCAATGTAAAACTTTGATTCCCTATTGTGGCCCTGCCCTACCCCCAGGGATGATCATTTTAACAATTTAAAATCTACACTACCCCAAGATGCTTCCAAATAAGGTTCAGCTTTTCTGGCCCAGTGGTTCTTGAGAAGAGGATTTTTGAAGATTTTTCCTATATATTTCTATGTAAAACTTTGATTCCCTATTGTGGCCCTGTCCTACCCCCTGGGGTCATGATTTGAACAATTTAGTATCTACACTACCCCAGGATGATTCCACATTAGTTTCAGCTTTTCTGGCCCAGTGGTTCTTGAGAAGAAAATATTTAAAGATTTTCTTATACACTGCATCTTTCTATGTAAAACTTGGATTCCCCATTGTGGCCCCGCCAACCCCCAGAGGTCATGATTTGAACAATTTAGAATCTACTCTATTCCTGGATGCTGTCACATAAGTTTCAGTTTTTCTGGCCCAGTGGTTCTTGAGAAGCAGATTTTTTAATGACCCCACCCTATTTTGTCTTTTCTTGATTATATCCTCTTCTGTAGGGACTTGGCCCTTTATTTTAACAATTTAAATTTCCCTTTACCTAAGAATGCTTTGTACCAAGTCTGATCAAAATTGGTCCAGTGGTTCTAAAAACATTCTGATTGTACACACAAGTACTTTGAAGTTGACATGAAAATGATGCTTGAATTTCTAATTGACAATATCTATCTTGTTTTTGGAGACAAGGTTTTCCAACAACCTGTTTGAATTTCCATGGGTACCAATAGTGCCCCGTTATTAGACCTTTTTGTATTCATATGAGGCAGCATATTTGCAAAATCTTATTCATGAAAAGAAGAAAATACTTGCTGTGGCCTTCAACTCGACATTTAGATACCGGTATATCGACGACGTATTGTCAATGGACAGTGGTAATTTCCATTTTTAAGTTTATACGATATATCCTGTTGAACTTGAAATAAAAGATACCAAGTCTAATATATATGTTTCATATTTGGATCTTTTAATTGAAAAGGGCATTAATGATAATATAACAACTAACAATCTATTAAAAAGGTGATGACTTTAACTTTTCTATCGTCAACTCCCCTTACTTATGCATTAATATACCTTCATTACCTGCATACGGAGTTTATATATCTCAGCTGATTTGATATGCAAGACCATACTCTACGTATGAACAATTTCTAAAACGAGGTAAATTATTGACAAATAAGTTGATGAAACAAGAATATCAGTAGTCTCGTTTAAAGTCATCATTTCGTAAGTTCTAAGGTCGATACAATGGCCTTGTCAGCAAGAACAATTTATCATTGAGTCAAATGCTGACTAACGTTTTTCATACTAATTGTTGTCCATTATTTATACACTAAATTAACGACGGATTTTTCCGTTGTTTCCCGACCATGACTATAGGAGCACACAGCGGGTATGACCTGTTGGCAGGTGATGCTTACTCCTCCATGCCACTTGATTCCACCTCTGATGTTTTGGAGGTCCGCGTTTGTTCTGTTCCTATTTTGTATTGTTTTATGGACTTCTGATTTTGAATACTGTTCGTTTTTTCCATATGTTTTATAATAATTTTAAACCAACCCAGTTTGACTTAGAATAATATCGTCAAATAATCCAGTTAGACCTAAAACGATATCGTAAACTAACCTAGTAAGACCTTAATTCAAAGGATATCTTTAATCAAACCATAAAGCCTGAAATGATATCTTAAACCAACCCTTTAAAATCTTAAATGAAGTATTGTTGCAAATACATGTATAACAATAATTTATAAGACAAATAATCAGTTAAGGAATAATACAATACATTTCACACACTTTATAAACAAACATTGATTTATCAGAATGGATTATTGCTTCACTGGAAAAAATATTGACTAAATCTCAATAGTTTGTCACTGAGGATCCAGATTTAATTATTGCATTTTTTAAGAGCTCAACCTATCCACTAGCAACCTATACTCAGTATACAGTAATATTTTTGAATTACACTTTTTTCAACGTTGAGACCAACTGTACATGCTGTAATTGTGCATGTACACGTATAAATCCAAAATATCGATTTGTTTTCCAAAAGCATGCATGCCATATGTGGTAACTTGATTTAAGGAATAACTGTCTTATCTTTCGATTTCATGAAGTGATCAATCGATTGGCTTGCGTGATAATTTGCATAAACGCCGAAGGCGTTTATGCATAAAATTATCACACAAGCCAATCGATTGATCATCGTCATGAAACTGAAAAATTTACAGGCTTTGATTCCGCCAATCCACATGCTCCAAGCCCTGCTTCTGTCTAGCTGTTTGTCCCACCCTGCACGTGTTTTTTTTGGAACCGCGCCAATACATTGATGGGGAAATAAAGTACATTTACAATTGGTAATTTTATCTCGGACAAAGACATTGGAAATGTAAATATTTAGGTATAAATATAAAACCTCACAAAGATTTGATTACTTGGAAGATCTATGAGGTCTATGCATTAACAAAATAACAAATAAATTGAAAGAAATATTTAAAAGAAATTGAAATTGGGATAAGAAATGGTCCAGTTGGAGAAATGAGAACCAAACACACTCTAAGGAGATAGCGATTGATTTCGATTAAAATAAATATTGGCTATTTTTGTAGATGAGTGTTTGTGAAAAAGCGTGAGAAAACGCCATATGTGTACAAGAAAAACAATTGTTTAAGCGGTTAAAAATGGACTTTGTCGGTTCATATTGTTTATCTTCACGAAATATCGCAAATTCTAGATTTGTTATTAGAGCATAAAAATTCTACAGAAAAATTTAGCATGATTAAGATTCTTAACATCATTTAAAATTAAGATTTGATGCAAAGATTACAAGCGAACCGCCCAACCAACCCCCAGACTATCATGACAAGTACTCCTCTGTCGAAGGAAGGGGAAAAAATAACTATATACCGGTATTTTCAACGATATTCTACTGCATATAAATTTACAGATATACATGTACCCTTGTGTTAGCTCGCTCATTTTATGAATGTTTGCAGCTCTTTCAACAAATGTGAACATCGATGATTCGTCTGTCTCATCAGCTAGACTCATCAGGGTGAGCCCACGCTGTTTACACGCCTGGTACGCCTTATCCCATGGGAGCTTGCTCGTATGAAGCTCAAACCGGCACGACTCTGCTACGACTGAAGAAAAAGAACATTCTCTTGTATTTAAAATAAAACAAGATGTGTTTGTGAAACACTGATGTCCCCGTATGGCAACATAGCAAAGATTAAAATTATATTGGTACCAAAAGTAGGGTATTCTTACTGGAAATACAATAATTTTGAAATATGAAAGTAGGCCAAGGTAGTTTTTTTCATAAGAACGGAAATCTTCAATGTCAAAGTCATCAATATCCAGTAAAAGGTCTTACCAGAGATAAAATACATATGTAAAGTATGGAAGCCCAAGCCCTTACTTTTCTGAAGTTATGGCCAAGGTTAAAAATTTTAAAAGGTAGGTCAAACTCCAAGGTCAAGGTTCAATGTCTTGCTATAATATGAAAGGTCTTGTCACAGGGATTAAATATGTAAAGTATGAAAGCATTAGCCCTATAATTTATAATATATACATTTGTGGTATCTCTGTTATATCACGTGACCGACCCACTTCAATTCCCATTGAAGTTTATAAACTTGTTATTTATTTCTTAATTGAAGTTATCAAATCGGCCATAGCTGATTTAAACGAAGTAGTTAAAATCTTTGTAGCATCAACTTATCTGTCAGTACTCTGCCTCATAAAAATTAAAGTGTCTTGTAGAGTACTCTTTTTATGTGATTAAATATGAATAAATAGCCATGGAAGAGGGATTTAGTCATAAGAAGGGATAAGGTCTATGTACATGTACTGGGAGGTTAGTACAGAAATTCACAGTTCATAAACTCATGAACGCGTTTATGTAGGAAAAATAACATTTTATGTCTAAAAATTAATTTCTGTAGACTTTTAAGCTATTAATATAAATCTCAGACACACTTCATGTGTGAAATGTCCCAGAATACATTTTAATATATGTACTACTGGTTCTAAATAACACTCTATTTAGTACTTACTTCCTAATATTTCACTATCCGCCGAATCTACCTTTCCAAAGAATATCGTTTGTAAAGTCATGAACGGTAAAATGAATAAGGAGAAATGTTTATAGCATCCAGAAAACATTACACTATATACTGAGAAAATTAATAACAATACTGAGATCTGCAAATTTGAGGCAATACTTTAGATAACTGTCCCAATACTTCTTGCCTTGAGTTTTTTATTGGAAAACGCTAGTATCCAAAGTCAAATTTATTTACTGGTGTTTAATGTTTGGCTGGTGTGCACAAAAACATATGCTGAAATTTAAATGAAGTTAAAAGAAAGTTTTGATCAAGAAACGCAAATTAAAACAGGAAAGATCAATTCCCCGCGGTGCTAACGCCTAATTAAACTAAGGTATACAGTTTTGTATTTATATAACCTGAATGCACCATTCGACTGAATTGAAATCATACAAATATCTTGACTTCGTTTTAACGTGTTTGTGGGACATTGTACAATCCCACCTCAGTAATATAAGAGGCTTTTGAATAATTAATATTATTTGGATTTGGATTTTTTAAATTATAAGTCAGAACTGAAGAAAAGAGTGCCAGTGCATGTGCATTCACTGTGCAACACTTACAGTACAATAAAATCGAACTAGTACTTTTACACTGAGTTACTTTTTGTACCCAGCTGAAATTGAGTGATATTAATTTCTGTCTAGATATCTACCTGTCTGTCTGTTCCTCTAACTGCTTAGTTGCATAGGCGTCGAAACCGAGGGTGGCTGGGGGGGGGGGGGGGATAACCCCGTTTTTTGTTGCAAAGATAGACATAATGTTAGGATTGAACATTTTCAATGACAACTCTCTAGCCTAATGAAGATTTCTATCGATTATGAGGATAAAAGGTCAAACGTCAAGGTCATAAGTTCATATATTGTGTGTGTGAAACATTCATTTCTAAGAAAGCCTATAGGATCAATCTAAAGAGAAAAAAATTTAAAAGGTGACAGGCGTTATAACGCGAACAAGCTAATTCAGAGAATTCGTGTCCCCCGCTTAGGGAAAAAGTCGGCTCCCCCTGACTGAATTTGTAGAATTATTAAATGTATACATGTATACTGAAGGAAATAAAATACATGTATGTCAATATGCATATAAAGATTTGATTGCTTATTCTTTATTATGTGTATAGAAGATTTTTTCATATGGAATATTTATCACACTGTAATGATGATTTTATAACCTCATAAATTTTTCATTTCACATGCTGAATACTATCATTTAGTAAAAAAAAAAGTATTTAAAAAAAAGAAAAAAAGAACGATCCAATCGAGATTCGATCCCGAGACCTCTCACATTTGAAGCGAGAGACATAACCACTAGACCACGGACTCTCTTTACATGGAGTGAAGTGTATGCAGAACTGAAGTCACATACATGTATATCTATATTCGTGTTTTCATGTTCGGTATTCTCAAAATTTTACACAATCCATGGTGTTTGATTTATTTAGCCTTTATTAAACAGTTCTAATAGATGTAATAAGAACATAAAGTCCGCCGAGAACCTGTTTTATACGCAATAACTCTCCTCATGCCCCTGCGCTAAAAATAGCGACATGTAATACTATAAATACTAATAAAACAAACGGGGCGGGGCACTTTGAGAGGGGCGAGAGACGTCCTAGGGAGTTTTGGTATAAAATTACATTGCATCAGCTCAAAATCTTCTTGAAATATCGCCCGGAAATGATAGTGTTACACACAGACAGAATGTATAAATTTACGACCTTGAACTTTGACCTTTTGACCTCAAGATCAATAGGGGTCTTCTTTAGGCCACAGGGAGTTGTTATTATAAAATTTCATTGCAATAGCTCAAATGGTTCTAGAGATATCGTGTGGAAACGAAAGTGTTTTAACAGACAGAATTTGCTTATTTATGACCTTGACCATTGACCTTTTGACCTCAAAATCTATAGGGGTCTTCTTTAGTCCATAGGGAGTTGCTATGCTAAATTTCATTGCAAAAGCTCAAAGGGTTCTCGAGATATCGTGTGGAAACGAAAGCGTTACAGACAGACAGAAAGACGGACGGACGGAAAGGGACGGACGGACGGACGGACAAACCCAAATTAATATCCCCCACTTTTCAAGCGGGGGACAAAAAATACATTATAACGCCTAATGAAAAGCCGTTATTACGCCTTTCTATTCCAAAAGGCGTTATTACACCTTTCTATTCCAAAAGGCGTATAACGCCTTTCTAAAAGTTGTCTAAAAGGCGTTATTACGCCTCTTAAAATGGCGTTTTTACACCTTTCTAGAAGGCGTTATTACGCCTTTTGAAAAGGATATTCCGATTTTTGAATATCAAGTATTCTGCATTTAACAGCCCCGTGCTTTTGATACCCCCCCCCCCCCTCTTCAACTGGCCAAACAAAGCAGGGACTTCTCGGTAAAACTTCATTTAACTTTATTTACTTAAATGCAATAATTTGCCACAGTTTTACCATACTGCAACAAATTGAACTAAGCAACCAATAGATTATTTATAATTTTTAAACTATAGCAAGATTTTGTTCCCAAAAAGCGTGTTTGGAGGGGGAGGGTTACCACATTCTCACTCGTAATACCGGCCTGTTTGAAAAGAAAAATGGAAATTATGATTAGGTGTTATTTTATGTTAATTAAAATATGAAAGATTGAATCAAAACCTTCTTTATTTATATGCAATTCTTTTTTTCTTTTAAAAAATATGCAAACTGCTTAAAATATTTTTTTTAAAAAAGGATGTACGAATTGCAAAAAAATATTTATGGGACAAAATTATACGAACTGTTGTTTTAGTAATTTGTATGTGGTCTTTTTCTTAATGAAAAAAAAAATATTTTTACACGCCGGCGGTAGGGACGGGGCTGTAAGTTTATGGTTCAGAGAGAGAGATAGAGAGAGAGAGAGAGAGAGAGAATTTTGAAAAAGTTTATTGAAAAGTCGGTTGCAATTGCCTGGAGCCACTCTACATTCACTTTTTATTGCAGTATAGTCAAATAAGGGTAGTGTACAAGTGTATGAATAAAATTTTGTACTGAAAGAAGTCCATGGACCATATCACTCACCTGAGTAACTTTGGAGATGCCGTTTATCACCAGAACCCCCCCCCCCCCCTTATAATATCCTTATAACCCACCCCCCACCCCCCCCCCCCCACACACACACACACACACACACACACACACACACACACAGCTGTCAGGGCTGTATATATCTATTTGATGTTCAATGTTAACTGTTTACAACTTGAATGTTCAACTGTTAAATTATCATTGTACTACCCGTGGAGTAAAAAGGTCTCGTCTTGAAAGAGAGAGAGAGAGTAAATCATGTAAATGAGGTTAAATGTGCTTAAGTATTATTTTTCAACTTTAATTATTCAATTTAACGAGATTGGATCTTGATATTTAAATTCATAGTTTTTTTTTCAAGTATATTCTTATTTTCGACACACAACGCTTAAAAAAATCTCAGCAAGAAATTGGGGGTCAGTATGCTTCTTTTTGCGATACAGTACCATTCTCTATCCATAGTTGTCGTTCCCGCATGTATGTGCAGTGAAACTGTCTATTTAATCCGTCATGCACTGGGAGACGAATTCTGCGTCGGAATAGAAAGTGTGCAGGATTGAAAAGTGTAAAATAACATCAAAATTAGTAAAATGGGAAAGAAATTTTATGTCGGAATTTAAAGTGTGATAGATAACACGGGTGCCGGATTAAAGAGTTTTCACTGTATTTCACTTCAAATGACAAATCCTATTTTTGTGAAAATTTGAATAAAAATTTAAAAACTACGCGGTGAAACTTATTCATTTTACTCATTAAAGCATGACCCAATTTTTTTTTCATTTTTTTTTTACAATAGTTTGTTTGTATCATCTGTCCTTAAAAAAATACAAACATAGCAGAATATTTAAAATACCTACGACTCGAACGTACACATGTACGAACTACCAAATTCTGTAAACCGGAAGTGACACACAAAAGCAAAAAAAATGGAAACACAAACACAGGTACCTTAGAACTTATGAACTTACTGTCCAGTTTGCAATTCTTTGACAACATACACACTTTATGTGTGAAAAAGAATAATGTTTGTTCAAATCACGCCGGGATTTTCATGAAATTGCAAGCACTTAGTCCTGGGAACGTGCTGTACGTAACAAGTCAGTTCGGTCCTGTTTGACAGATCGCTCCTCGCTGACTGGCTAAAACATTTTGTCATATCTGCCAAATTTTAAAAACATACTTAATATGTTTTACGGTGTGACCGTTGGGGCGAGCGCAGTTCATTTACTATCATAAACCTACACATGTACTGTCTATCATTCAAGAAAAAGAAAGCAAAAAGAATAAAACAATGCAATAAAAAGAAATCATTTCCCAAGCATCGGGATCGAGATTCCAAACTTCTCGGAAGTTTCCGACAAAATCGGAAATACCCGAACCGTTGAAATGACGAAAGTATGACGTCAGATAAAAAGTTCTGTTGACTTAGGACGCAAACGCTGGTTTTATGGAAAAGAGATTGCATTAAATCGTTCTTCTCAAGTAAGTTGTTGCTATGTTTTAGCCACCATGTTGCTATGCACCGCAACATGTTTTCCGAGTTTCACGGAAGGAACCGACATAACTTCGTCAAAATTCGTAAGTTTCGGGTGACGTCATTTGTATCATTTCGGAAGGGCAAGGTGAAGGCCGGTGTTGTGGCATGGGGTATTTTTTTGAATAAGGTAAGGCAAAATCATTTCGTTGAGATTTCGGTAAGAAACAATGTTCCTTTAATTTTTTTACTATTTTTGATTTATTCGCGCAAAGGACATTGGGTAGTGCAGGAATTCTGGGAATGTTGCACAGAGAAATTTGGCTGACGTATGTACAGATTTCAATCCGAATTTCCTCTGTTCATACACGTTAGTCTATTGAGCTCGCTTCGCGAGCGTCGCTTCGCGACGCTCGCTGCGCTCGCTATAAGTTCGAGACATATTAGTGAAAAACAAGAATTCTTAATTTTTTATTGAATGAATTTGCGTAGTCTTAGAGCCTCTAGAGGTGCCTTATCTGCTTATTCATATACATGAGGAGGTTATATTAAATTATAACATGTGGGTTGTATTTTAGACGTAAAAGCTCTAAATTTAAAAGTATTTAGGGACTTTGTACCCTAGACCTCGCCAACATTTGGCCATTGCTTGTCCCATTGGGGACCCAATGTCTCCAGGGCTTAATCCACCCTTTATTGGTACAGGGCAGTGCTCCAAGTTGCGACTAAAATGGTTGCATTTGCAACCAAAAAATTGATTTTGCAACTAAAAAGGAAAACACACTCGCATTTTTGCGACTGAGAAAATTTGGGCTGGAAACATCCATTTTTAAGATCGGGATCGAAATTTCATTTGTAAAGATTCTCTATCAGAAAATGTTTGATGACATATACTTAAATACACTTTACAAAGCGTCACATAGACTTGGATCTTGTAATGTTAAGGCAGCATGCTGTACAAAGTTTGATAGAACCAGAGACGTGTAAAAATAATGTTCCTGATAGAATGGCATCCAAACTTCGTAAACTTTCTAAGATCTGACCTTGTTATTGAAGCATTTGGTCAATTGCTTGCATATCACAATGAATCATGCTAATAAAGAGTGTTTTGGCGGCATTTATAATGACTGTGTAATGGGTTAGGTACGTAGTAGTAAGTAAACATGACAAACAGCAGGCAAAGTCCTGTCTCAACAGCTGTCAAGCTTGTATTTTCATTTGACAAAATTTTATTTCTGTAATCAGATTACTTGTCTTCTTCTGTACAACCATAAAGGTACATGTATTCAATAAAAATATTTCATTCAACCTAGCAAATTTTTATAGTAACAGTAATATGTAATCTTTGATATAATAAAGACTTAATACATATCCTTATTTGAATTATCAAGTTTTAATCACAAAATGAATTGTATATTTTTTTATGGCGAGTGAAATATTTGATTATGGCGACCAGAAATTCTGAAATGGCGACCAAAAAAATTTTAAGTCGCCATTTTGCGACCTAAGAGGAAGTGTGACTTGGAGCACTGCAGGGTCCTGTACCCTTTCAATTGGGAATAAATAATTAAAAAAAAAAAGATATCAGATAGCTCATATTAAATTTAAATGTTGAATGAAGAATTACTCTGAAGATTTATTCCTTATTCACATCTTCATTATTCATTAAAATTTCAAAATTCAATGTATTTTAATTTTTTACTTGTATATTTGGGGAAAAGGAGTAAATTTTCAATTGGGACAGGGTCCTTTACAGGACTTGGGTGCAAGTTATTTTATGTAAACCCTTATCTGACACAGAGAAATTAATGTATTTCATGTCCAGTACTTGGAAATCCCTAGTTCCACACCTGGTTTTAACTTAAGAAAACTTTTATTGTATAATACATTTGTAGAACTGCAACCACAGGCACTTGTTTCGGATATTTTTTAACCCATAATATAATAATAACACTTGTTATTATTATACTATGGATTAAAATATATTTTGGAAATAAGTGCCTGTGAATGTGATAATGCAACATAATAAACAAAGAAATGGAAAGAAGTTATGATGCATGAAACAACAGATAATAATTAAATTTTTTTTTTTGTTTTTTTTTTGTAGAGTGTTGATGACATGCTTGTTTGTCTAATGTCAATGGGATTCACTTTTGAAGACGGCCAGGCAGCGGTTCAGAACGGACACCTGTCAGTGGAGAGAGCGGTGGAGTGGTAAGATGATGAACAGATCTGTAGCCTGCATACATGCCAACTTTTGAGAATTCCCATGGGGGATTTAGCGTGTGATGACAATTTTCAAAGCTTTAAATTCGCGACATTTTGTCATGAAATTAAATGATTATATGAAATGATCTTTTTTAGATTTATAATATTGATATCAATTATCAATACAACTTAGGAATTAATTTAACACAAAAAATAATGTTTTCTTTTCAAAATTGAAATATTTTTGCTAAAATAGGTGCCTCTCTCACTAAAGAAGGGGTATTTAGTTACTTACGTAAACATTTTTTTTTCTACCAGGACACATAATTTAGTGAAAAATTGAAAATTGTACAAATTTTAAATCATTTTTTTTTCCAAAGGCTAAAAAAAATATATGAGGTTTTGATACTGTAAAGTCCTGTTTATGGAAACGTTTTGAGATTTTTTATTTATATTTCAATTAATTGAATGAAATCAACAAGTTTACTATTCATAATTTTCCCTTGTAAAAGGTACTTATAAAATCTGTGTCTAACCTGAATGTATATTTTTCAATCAAGGTTCAGTTTTGATCCTTAAGTAACAGAACCCAATCTACCAATCTAAGATAACTTTACTTTCAGGATCCTGGCTGGAAAACCTGGTCAGACAGTATCAAATTCAGGGCCAAGACTTCAGTTACGCCAATCGGTATGTTTGTGTAATCAGTATTTAAAGGAAGTCACAACTGGCAATGAGTTGAAAACGACTAGAAAATCTAATTTAAAATGAATACTCAAAGATGCATAAAAGATTCTTTAGGTGGAAAAATATCTCTTTATGTGATTGAAAATGCACTCATTGTTTGAGTGCTTTAGAGCCTAAAGTCTAGATGAGCTTTTCTGATCGCCATGCATCTGTTTTTGTGTCTGTCCATCTTTCTTTAAACTTATCACATTTTTATCTTACTAAATCAGTTATCAAGAGCAACTGGACCAATTTTAACTGAAATTAACACAAGCCTGTTTTGGGTAAAAGGAATTTTACTTGCAAATTTATGTAGTGAAGGGCAACCCTGCTTCCAAGGGGAGATAATTGAGAAAAGGCAAAATATGAAGGGTGGAATAAAAAGAATCTTATATGGAATCTTTCCTAATGAAGGATACTGACTATGTACTTTTCTTTTCTATTTAAGAAACACAATAGAACCATTTATATACATAATTACACTGTATGATAACAATTTTATAATGTACCTTTTCAAATTTATTTTTTTTCCTTTTAGTCAGAACGCCCAACCAATCCCTTTGTTAACCCAGCAGTTCCCAGACAAACAAGTCAACCTTCCACATCAACAAATCAAACTGCAGTAACAGACCAATCAAAATCCTCCAATCAAAACTCTGAGGAAAGCAGCCAATCAAAGCCTGTCAAAGCACACCCAGAATCAGAAGACAACCAATCAGAGACAGTCATTAGTAGGTTACATTTGAGTGATGACCAGAAGAGAGTGAGAGCTGATTTTGAAGCCAAGCAAAGAAAAGAGGCCAGAGAGGATGCTTGGAAGGAAAAACAGAGGCGTAAAAGAGTAAGTTTTCTATCATATGTAGATTGTTTGAGATACAGAGAGTAAAATGTTTTTGGGAGACAAGCTTACTTTATTACCATGTAGCTTGTGACACAAGCTTTGATTGGAAAAAAAGTCCGACTGGTTTAAATATCTGTGCACCTGACTTGAGCCTGGGGTAAATAAAACTGACGTCACAATGCACAGTTTCTCTATGATAAATAGCAAATAACATGATGTCACAAAATCTTAGCGTAAGTTTGATATACAGTTGATTTGTCTTATGTTTTTAAAAAAAATTATTTAAAAATAAATTGTTTTCTAGGTTCGATCAAGGGTGTACAGAGATTTACCCAAGGTTGTATTCCATACACCCTTCGGCCTCAGGGTGTATGGAATAAAATCCAGGTTATATCCCTGTACACCCTTGATACCCAGGATAACTAATAATAACAAGCATTCTGAGAGTAAAAAAGTGCGGAAAACGAAGTAGGACAGACAGTCGGACGGACAGACGTAGAGGAAACCTGTAGTCCTCTCCGGTTTCACAGATGTCACCATATACATTAATGAGCATAGATTATTTCTGGGTTATTTTTTGGTAACATTCATGGCTAAAACATGCCACTGACCTGTGTGTTTGTGCTTTTTGATTCAGGATCATGAGAGAGTGTTAAAGGAGATAGCAGAGGATAGAGAGAAGAAGAAAATGACCAGCCTCCACAGTAAGACTGAGGCAGCTAAAACAGGCACAAAGGAGGCACCCCCAGCCCCCTCCCCCTCCAAACCCGTGCCTGACAGGTGTCAGCTACAGGTAAGGACTAAGGAGGCACCCCCAGCCCCACTCACCTCCAAGCCCTCCCCAGATAGATGCCAACTCCAGGTAAAAATTCAAGTGATTGGTCCATACAATTGCATGATTAGAATGACAGTCAACATCTCCACTATGTTAATTACTGCTTTATGTTTGCATGGAAACACACATCGATTTCACAAAGCTTATCACATAAAAAATTACTGTATTTATTTATGTTTAATTTTTTATCCTTAAATTTTAATAGAGAATTATTCACTGTATACAGGGAAATTTTCTCCCCCATTTTATTTTCACCCTTTCGCCCTCTCCTCCTTTGGGCGAATTTAGAATAGGGCAGATTTAAAGAATACAGTATAAATTCTTAAACAGAACTATGACTGAGCGAATTTAAAACGGGACAAAATTGTTTTCAAGTGTGAAGGGGCGAAAATAACGGTGCAAAAATAACCCTGTATGCAGTATTCGTGTAATTTCTTTTTCCCCATATATAGCAACTTAGGTATTTGCCCAACTCTTAACAAACTGTATGGGAATTTACTTTAATGTGCATTCTTTTAATAATTTCACTCAAAAATCAATATTTTGTAAATTCTGTAATTTTTTAGTAAAGTTATGGATATTAATAGGACAATTTTCAAACAGATTTTTGACAACTGTTGGGAAATGTCCATGTTTGAAAAGTAGCCAGTATACATGTATAGGTGAAGCTTGATTCTCTCCAATGTGGATGGTGTAAGTTTATGATTTAATCTTAGCTAATGTCTACAAACCTTGTGTTTTCAGTTACGTTTGTTAGCGGGGGATGTGGTCAAACAAACCTACCCTGCTTCAGAATCCTTTCAGTCAGTGTGGAAGTTTGTCACCGAGAAATGTGGCTCCTCAGAAATTGTCTTAATTCAGGTATACTAGCTATAATACAGGTATCCATATTATCAATTTAATACACAAGTTTGGAGATTGTAACTCTCCTACAAAAGTGGTGCAAAAAGTATCCATATCAGCATGGAAATGGGACAGGTTGTTTGTTTATACAAACATCCAAAATTAAAACGATGTCTATGGCGTTTGAAATTCATTTAGAAAGTTAATAGTGTTAAGCAGTGATGCTTGTGATGATTTTATCAGGCTCAGCCATGCATATTTAAAGTATCAGTGTCTAGTTAGTGGAGTATGCCAGGTCATCAATGATATTTGGAAACATGGGATAATTTGCATAAAAAGGTGAAGCAATGTGATGTAAATGTTTGACATTGATAATGATGTTGTCAATCTTGTAGCCATTTCCTCACCGGGAATTCTCTGGTGCTGACGTCCAGTCCTCCTTACAAGATCTCCAGCTGACCCCCTCAGCCTCCCTAATGGTGAAGAGGAAAGACACCCAGAAACCTAACCCAGAACATACAGGTACGGCATCTCTTAGCGTATTGGGGGTTTTGTATTCATTGTCTTTCAATTTCAAATTTAGGTTTAAGGATTGAAGTTAATATGTGACTATATATATTTTGATAGAGTTCTACTTTAAAAAAAAGAAAAGAAAATTATAAATATTTCAAAAGAAATCTGAATATTTCTTGAAACTAATTTTGAAAAGTTAAGGATTGAGAACATTAAATATACCGTAATATGCACATGCAAGACTTTAAATTCAATTGAAGCTGAAGGATTCATGTATATACATGTATTATAGACTGAGACTTAATAAAAAAAAATTTGTGTAGATAAAAGAAGAAAGGGGGTAATTATAAAAATATCAACCAATAAAGGTTAAAAGGAATGTTTCATATTTTTTCCAGAGAGTAAGCAGATAGCTACAGATGAAGCATCAAGTTTGTCAGGTCAAGGTCAAAGTTCAGCAGGTCAAGGTAATCTAAGGTTCCAGGCACCGTGGATCATTAACCAGCAAGCTGGGGCTGAGGAGGAAAGGCAAGGTGAGGGTCATTGTCATTTCTGTCAGATTTACATACCCACATATTTCATCCAAAGGCTGATTAGTTATATTCAAGATACAAGGGGATTTAACTTTTATGTTATATTTGAGGTATGAAGTGACCACAAATCCAGGTCTTCTTTGAAAGATAAAAAATTCAAAACTATGAAAGATGGATATTTCAAACTAAAGTAATAATTTTCATCTTGAACTTTGAAAATCAAATCCTCAAAACCCAATATTTTTTTCTTACAACCACATAAATTTTACCCATTCAAAAAGTGATTTTGAGTATTTTAATATGGCATTGTTGTTTTATAACAATTGTATTTTATTAGCATATTTTTTATTTACGTTATCCATTGTGTATATAATTATATACATAATTTCATATTTATAAATATCTACAAAGCACTACACAAGGAGTTTTGAGATTAATTTAACCTTATTATACTGTTCTAGATGAGGAAGAGGAAATGGAGGAAAATGAGGAAGCTGATCAGGATGAGGTTGAGGATTATCCTGTCCACCATGGAATGCCCCCGGGGTTCCCTGCAGGATTTGGGGGACTGGGTGGTGGGGGGCCACTAGGTGGTGCAGGGCTAGGTGGTTTACCAATACTGCAAGGAATGGGCCTAGGTGGAGGTAAGGAATTAGATCTGTTAATGACATGTAAATGATGAGGGTGTGAGTGACACAGTTTGTCTCTCTATATTGTTCCATTAGACTAAGTGATGATTCCATGGAAGGGGGGGGGGGGGACTTGAATCACAAATGTTTAAAAACAGCATTTACATGTATGTCTATTATAAACTTAGCAAAATTAATGTATTCATGCAATCCTTATTCATTACATCATAGAGTTTATGCATACTGTAATTATATAATTAATTTAAAAGTAAGGTATTGTATACAGTTAACATGTGTTGTAGGTGGAGGCAATCAAGCAGCATTTGAAGGGGTAGGACAGAGATTGGTTCCCGTGGGATATCCCGGGGCAGAGGAGGAGCACCACAACATCCCAGCAGCTCGTCTAGCGGGTACGTACCACACAATACATTGACTCACCTATCAGGTAAGTGGCTGTTTTTTTTCAATTAAGAACTATTTGGACTTTTCTTTTTCCCAATTGTGTAAGCTGTAATAAAAAGTACAGTGGATATATTTTAACATTCATACTCTGAGAAAAAGCATATCTTTTTGTCCAGCACCAAGCTCCATATTTTCACATGTGAAAAATTAAAGTGATTATAATAGCTACAAATGTTTCTTTGGTATAGTATACTCAATCATGTACATTACTTCATAAATTTCAGCGGAGAAAGCCAGGGAAAGATATGCAAATCCACCCCGAGTAGCTCCGAATCAGCCCGAGGTTTCCATGCCCTCAGCCTTGACCTACGATGTCAGTCACTTGACACATTTATGCATGAACCATATCGCTCAACGCTTGACCCAGCATGACCCCCGTCACCCCCTGTTGTCATTATCAGGCGTGTCAGAAGAGGTCGCTCAGAATATCCTATCTTACCTGCTGAAGGAGAAACTGCTAAAGCCCAGAGTCCTCAATGCTTTTATTCCATGGTAAAATATATATAAAAATGAACATATTTAAATCATAGTTGCTTAGATGGTGTTTCTGAGTTTAAGTTACATAAATAAAGATTACAAATTAAGTTTTTCTGAAGGTAAATTTATTTAATTGCTTGTTGATATGAACACTTTGTATATTACATTTAATCAGTAGTTCAGATGGTAGATTAATATAGGATCTCCCAGGATTTGTAGTTGGATATGATTTTAATCCAGTGAGTTGGGTGTTTTTATCCCTGAACCTTGGCGACTTGTAGGCTAAAAATCATATCCAACCATAAATAATGGCTTTCATGGATTTGATTTAGTGTCATTTTCACATTTTCTCTTCTTCTCAATGTTGGCACAAAGTCTTGAAGGGATATCAAGTTTGTTCAAATGAAGTATGCCCTTTTCAAAGGGGAGATAATTATGAATTAGAGAAAAATTAATGGCATTTTTAAAAAATCTTCTTCTCAAGAACCACTGGGAAAGGTTATTTGGAATCATCCTCAGGTGTGTAGATTCAAGTTTGTTCAAATTATAACCCCTGGGGCAAGGGTGGGGCCAAAATGGCCGACCCAAGTTTTACATAGGAATATATAGGAAAAATCTTTAAAAATCTTCTTTCAGCCAAAAAGATGAAACTCATGTGGAATCATTCTCAGGTAGAATTCAAGTTTGTTCAGCCAAATATAATACGTTTACAGTAAGTTTTTCTGAAGGTAATATTTATTCAATTGCTTGTTAATATGAGCACTTTTTACATAGTATATTCTTTACATTTAATCAGGTAGTGTTGATTCAAGTTTGTTCAAATCATGACCCCAGGGGCAAGGGTGGGGCCAAAATGGCCGACACAAGTTTTTCATAGGAATATATAGGAAAAATCTTCTTCTCAAGAACCACTGGGCCAGGAAAGATGAAATTTATGTTGAATCATCCTCAGGTAGTGTTGATTCAAGTTTGTTCAAATCATGACCCAGGATTGGGGCCAAAATGTAGTTTTTCATAGGAATATATAGATTTTAATGGGCCAGGAAAGATGAAATTTATGTTGAATCATCCTCAGGTAGTTTTTTTGTTCATCCCCCTGAACCTTTTACATAGGGATATTGAGGGAAACCTTTTAAAATCTTCTTTTCAAACACTTCAAAGTTACATTAGTGTTATTTATATAGAATCCAAGGTAGTGTAGATTTTGTTCAATGGCTTTAAGGATTCTCAGGTGAGCGCTTGGCCCCTGTTTGTTTCTGTTTCTACATGTAACACAGCTATCTTTTATATGAATCTATTGTATTTGGCATAACTTTCACATGAAAACTACAGTGACTGTAAAATGCTGTAATGTCATTACTATTGATATTAAAGCAATATCCTAATCCCAATATCCAGTGTATAGGAATAAGTGTTAAAAAATGACTATATTGACCACTTTACATACCTCTGAAAGGTATTTTTAATTTTTCAGCTTTTTGAGAAAGATGATCCTAGATTGTTATCCCTATGCAACCAACGAACTGCTTCATGCTGTCAGGTGAATATAAACTTTATCATATATAATAATTTTGACTGAGGTTTCCATTCAATTAGTGTTGTGTTCGATTTATCAAAACATGGTCATATAATGTAAAAGATCTTAGATATCAAACTGCCCTGGACATTACCTTTCTTAATGTGAAAAAAACAGGTATCAAACAAGTTAAAAACTTTTTTGTTGTTATATTTTTAGATATCACTGCCAATTACAGACACTTAGTTTAAAATCGTGTCCATTGATTACGGACGCGGGACTGCTAGAACTCAACAGTAAGTGTTGGTTTGGACTTTGTGTGATTCATTTTACAGCTTCAGGTTAATGACAAAGATACTTTTATTTACATTATCAGTGGAAAATTATTGAAAACATACCAGACATCAAAAAATATTTGAACAAGCCCCTCAGAGAAAGAAGATAACCATATATATTTTAGGTCATGGTGAAGGGAGGGGATGGGGTTGCAGTTGATACATGTATTAGGGGTGAATAACTTTATTTACATGTACTTGATTCTTTTTTCAGCTTTAAAAAAACTGAAGCACTTGAACCTCAGTGGATGTAGACAGCTCACAGATAAATGTTTAGAAATAATTAAAGGTTTGTCAAATGTTTATTCCTTATAGTACACTGTAAAAGATTAAATTATATCTTTATATGCTTTCTTTGAAAATAAATGTTAGTTCAGTGTAAGTATTGTTATCCTAATAAATACAGTTGATTTTCGCTATCTCCAACGTCAAGATCTCAAATATTATGGATGTGATTTAAAAGTCCTGGCCTTGATATGACTTGCATTTTACTTTCATTGACAGATATGTCTTGTGTAGTACTATTTTGTTGGCCTAGATGTAACTTGTATTTTACTTTTCTTCCTTTATTGATAAATATTTCTTGTAAAGTACTAGTTTGTTTGCCTTGATTTGTCTCGTATTTCACTTTTTTCCTTTATTGACAGATATGCCATGCCTAATACTATTGTGATGGCCCTGGTATATTTGTGATTTCTTTTGACAGATATGCCTTGCCTAGTATTATTGTGATGGCCCTGGTGTATTTGTGATTTCTTTTGACAGACACGCCTAGTATTTCTTTGATGGCCTTGGTATATTTGTAATTTCTTACTTTTGACAGACATGCCTTGCCAATTAATAGTTTAATGGCCCTTGTGTATTAGTGATTTCTTTCTTTTGACAGATAATTGCCTTGTGAAGTATTATTGTGATGGTCCTGGTGTATTTGTGATTTCTTACTTTTTTAGCTCACCTGAGCTGAAGGCTCAAGTGAGCTTTTCTGATCACATTTTGTCCGTCGTCCATCCACTGGGCCAATTTTGACCAAACTTGGTACAAAGCATCCTTAGGTGAAGGCGAATTTAAATTGTTAAAATGTCCCCTCACAAGATTTCTTAAAAAATCTTCTTCTTAAGAACCACTCGGCCAGAAAAGCTGAAACTTTTATGAAAGCATCCTAGGGTAGTTTAGATTCTAAATTATTAAAATCATGATGGCCTTGGAATTTTATATAAAAATATATAGGAAAAATATTTAAAAATCTTCTTCTCAAGAACCACTTGGCCAGAAAACTGAAACTTATGTGGAAGCATCCTTGGGTAGTGTAGATTCTAAAATGTTCAAGTCATGACCTTGCCACAATGGGGAATCAAAGTTTTACATAGAAATATATGAAAATCTTTAAAAATCTTCTTCTCCCAGAAAAGCTGTGTATTAGTGATTTGTTAAAATCTTGACCCTTGGGGGTTGGGCAGGGCCACAATGGAGAATCAAAGTTTTACATAGAAATATAAAGGAAAAATCTTTGAAAATCTTCTTCTCAAGAACCACTTGTGAAACTATGTGGAAGCATCCTATAGTGTGATGTTCTAACCATGACCCCCGGGGTAAGGTGGCCACAATATTTTTTGGTAGACAATGTATTGCAAGGGGGAAATGTGGTAAAGAACGGAATGGTCAAAGCTTCTCAGGTGAGCGATGTGGCCCATGGGCCTCTTGTTACAGAGTAATAGTTTGATGGCCCTGGTGTATTAGTGATTTCTTATATTTGACAGATATGCCTGGCCTAGTACATGTAATAGTTTGATGGCCTTGGTGTATTTGTGACATGACTATTTCGTTCCTTTATTGACAGATATGCCTTGCCTACTCTCCCTTAACTTGGACGGTACAGGGGTCACTGAGCCGGGTTTAACAGGAATCATCCCTAGTCTTCCTACCTGTCTACAGGCCCTCAACCTTAACAGGACCAGCGTCACAGAAAAAATACTGCCTCATTTAAAAGGTATGCATAGAGACAGTTGTTAAATTTTTATCTTGTTTTTGACTTCTTAAATTATTGATATTATTTTTCAAATTTTTTTAAAATTGTATGTTTAATTTCAGAATTGGAAAATTTAAAAGTTTTGTCCCTAGAACATACCAAGGTAGGAAAGTGTTTTGAAATGGAACAAGATACAATATTAAATTATATTGTTTTATCAAGATTACTGGGGTAGTAACTCTTTCTTCATTAAAAAAAAAATTAAATCCCGATTCTGTTCATGAATGAATTTTTATGTGATCTTCTATGAAAAAAGCTAAATGATGTTAGTTTCATAGAGGATCATCATAAAAAAGACTGGTAAAAGAAATAGTAAAAGAATAGTGAAATATTTTATAGAGTTCCCTCCTCGGTTTGAAAAGTAAAGTTTGAACAATAACTCTTTATATGTGTGAGTAAGCACTTTGGTTTTGAACAGTAAAATCTGTATGAGTTACATCTCTTGTTTTCAACAGTAATCTTATGTATTGAGCATCCTGTCAGGTATCAGCATTCCTAACTGTTTCTGATATGTTTATCTTTAATTTGCTGAATGAACTGATCGTGAGAATCTGGCCACACAGACAGTTTCACAGGATGCATTTGTTTATGCAGCTGTACATTAAGCCCGCATGTTAATACTCATTATACTGTATATCACTGTAGCACTAGGGAAATTAATCAGTTGTAGTTTCGACCGTCACTGTAGACACATGCTTTAATAAATATATATATCAAAACGTGGAACTTCTTATTTATTATATTCAGTGGAAGAATATTACATTTGGCGACGAGGATAAACTTTTATATTTGCTATTAACTCTTTGAAATTGATAAGTGACTTTCACCATGCCTACTTACGGAAAATTAACCTCATATGATGACAGTGAAGACTGGATTCAATACATAGAGAGACTAGAAAGTTATTTTAATGCCAACGATATAACGGACGCAGGCAAACAAAGGGATATTTTACTTAGTGTTATGGGAAAAAATACTTACAAACTGGTAAGAGATTTATTAGCGCCAACCAAACCTAGTGAAAAGGGGTATTTGGACATAGTGAAAATGATCAAGGATCATAAACACCCTGACCCATCAGAAATTATTTCACGCTTTAAGTTCAATAGTCGTGTGAGGAAACAGGACGAGTCGGTCAGAGAATATGTAGCAGAACTCAGGAGCTTGTCCGAGCATTGTAAGTTCGGGGAAACACTGGAGACAATGCTGCGAGACAGACTGGTGGTTGGGATCAACGACGACAGGATCCAGAGGCGGCTGTTAAGCGAAACCAAGCTTAATTTCAAGGAAGCCCTGGAGATCGCCACAGCTATGGAAACGGCTGTTCGAAACGCCAAGGATATCCAAGCTAGTGCCCCTGCGTCAGCCATCAACAAAGTCGGAAAACATGCCCGGAAATTCCCTGTTCCGGAGAACAAGGACTGCTATCGTTGCGGCGAGAGCCATGCACCATCTCAGTGTAGATTTAAGGATTCCAAGTGTCATAAGTGCAAGAAAAAAGGCCACATTGCGAGAAAGTGTAGGTCACACAGTGATTCTGGGAGGAAATTCACAGCAAAACAAAAAAGCGGTAAGACACATTTCGTTGACCAGCAGGCCGAATCAAGCAGCGATTCCGACAGTGATTGCGCATATGACATGTTTCATATGGAAAACAAAACGAGTATCAAGCCGTACAGAGTGACTGTGAAAATTAATGGATGCACGACACACATGGAAATAGATACCGGAGCCTCGGTGTCTATCATAAGTGAGGAGACGTACAAAGCTATTGGGAAGCCAGATTTACAGGAATCGAAGGCGAAGCTGAAAACTTACACTGGAGATGAGATTCCGATATTAGGGACTTGCAAAGTTAAGGTAGAGTACAAGTCAAAATCAGTAAACATACCAATCACGGTAGTTAGAAACCGGGGACCGAGTCTTATGGGACGTGACTGGTTGGGAGAGTTTCAACTGGATTGGAGCGAGATATTTACTATATCGGAATTCAACAAAAACAAGGGACTCAAGAAAACACTAGACAAATTTGAGGATGTTTTCCGAGACGAATTAGGAGCAGTTAAAGGAATGAAGGCTAAAATCTACGTTGATCAAGCAGCACAGCCTAGATACTACAAAGCCAGACCGGTACCATACGCAATTAAGGAAAAAGTTGAGCAGGAACTGGACCGTTTACATAAGAGCGGCATAATAGAGCCAGTGAAATTTTCGGAATGGGCGGCTCCCATAGTTCCAGTAGTGAAGGGAGATGGTTCCATACGAATCTGTGGAGATTACAAAGTTACCGTTAATGCCGTGTCAAAACTGGATAACTATCCGATTCCAAAAACGGAGGATTTATATGCAACCTTAGGAGGTGGCGAGGAATTTACCAAGCTTGACATGAATCAAGCATATAATCAGCTTCTCCTGGAAGATGAATCTAAGAAATATGTGACAGTGAACACCCATAAAGGATTATATCAGTATAATCGCCTTCCATATGGAGTGTCATCAAGTCCAGGGATTTTCCAGCGGACACTGGAGAATCTGCTTCAAGGAATTCCGAATGTGTTGATACGTGTCGATGACATACTAGTCACAGGTCGCACAGCTAAGGAACATTTGGAAAATCTGGAGGAAGTTCTGAAACGAATTCAGGATGCAGGAGTTCGACTCAAGCGACGTAAGTGCGTATTCATGGCACCTGAAGTTGTGTATCTTGGGTACAAGATAAACAAGCAAGGAATCTACCCCGTTGCGGAGAAGGTGACAGCAATCAAGAATGCACCACATCCGACTAAAGTTACCGAGCTGAAAGCGTATCTCGGAATGCTCAACTACTACAATCGGTTTCTACCCGATTTAGCGACAACGTTGAATCCTTTGCACAAATTGTTGCAGAAAAATCAAAAGTGGATGTGGGGTAAGGAGCAAGAGGATGCATTTCAAAACTCAAAGGATTTACTGCAATCCGACAAAGTGTTAGTGCATTATGATCCATGCTAAAAATGATACTTGCATGAGATGCATCGCCATACGGAATAGGAGCAGTCCTATCACATCAAATGGAAGCGAGCGTCCCATTTCCTATGCGTCACGTACCTTGACAGTGGCAGAGAGAAATTATTCTCAATTGGAGAAGGAAAGTTTGTCAATCATATTTGGCATAAAGAAATTCCATCAGTATTTGTTTGGGCGACCGGTGACAATCGTGACAGATCACAAACCGCTCATTGGGTTGTTTAGTGAGGACAAGCAAATACCATCAATGGCTGCTTCAAGAATTCAACGCTGGGCTTTAACATTAGCAGCTTATGAATACCGTATTGTGTACAAAGAAGGACGAAATCATGGAAATGCCGATGGATTGAGCCGACTTCCCTTAAAAACCAAGGAAACAGACACCCCTATGCCGTTGGACACAAGCATGATCCTAAATCACATTGATGAGCTACCCGTGACGTGTAAGGACATAAGACTATGGACACGGAGGGACCATGTACTATCAAAGGTACTTCATTTCATTCTCAACGGCTGGCCTGATAAATGTCCGGAAGAAGAATGTAAACCTTATTTTGAACGTCGGACTGAATTGAGCAGCAACGACGGTTGCATATTATGGGGCAATAGAGTGGTCGTTCCGAGTCCAGGCAGAAAATGCATGATAGATGAATTACATGAGGGACATCCTGGAATTACCAGAATGAAAAGTTTGGCCAGGAGCTACTTGTGGTGGCCTAACATGGACAGTGAATTAGAACGCTGTGTTAGGGAATGTGAGGACTGTCAAGTCAACATGAAAAACCCCGCTCTAGCACCATTACATCCTTGGGAATATCCGAGTAAGCCTTGGTCAAGGCTACACATAGATTTTGCAGGACCATTTATGGATAATATGTATTTTGTTATAATGGATGCGTACTCAAAGTGGCTCGAGGTCATCGTGATGAAAAACATCACTACCCGCACAACAATAGACAAATTGCGGAGCGTATTTGCAACTCATGGATTACCCGAAGTTATCGTTTCCGACAACGGACCATCATTTACAAGTAAAGAATTTGAACAGTTCATTGCCAAAAATGGAATTCGGCACATTAAAACATCACCTTATCACCCCTCAAGCAATGGATGTGCAGAACGGGCAGTTCAGACCTTTAAGACCGCCATCAAGAAGATTACAGGAGGAACCATCCAGGAGAGAGTTCATAAATTTCTGTTTAACTACCGAATTACACCACAGTCAACGACAGGGCTAACACCATCCGAAATGCTTATGAACAGAAAATTACGATCGAGATTAAATTTAGTAATGCCAGACATAGCAAGCAAAGTTCAAGAAAAACAAATCAAGCAGAAAAACTATCATGATATGCATACCAAACAAAGAAAATTCGAGATCAATGAAAAAGTTTTTGTAAAAAACTTCCGCAAAGGCGATCCTTGGATACAGGGCAGCGTAGTTGAAATCACAGGACCGTTATCCTACAGAATCAAACTCAACAACGACTGTATTGTTCGGAGACACATAGATCATATCCGAAAAAGAGAAACTAAGGACATCTCTGAGACCGAGCTCGAGATATTCTTACCAAAAATCAAGGCACAGCCAGAGGTCACACCTGAAATTGGACCAAATGACACCCTACAAGCTAAAGAACGCGAGCCGAACGTAACTCAAAACGCAGAAATTCAAGAGCGCCGATATCCGATTAGATCCAGGAATAAACCTGCATATCTGAAAGACTTTCAGTGCTAATTGTGTTATAAGTGTAAAGAGGCATAATAATCCTCTAAAATTAAAAAGTATTGTACAATTGATGGTGACAATTTGATATTTTAGACATTATAATTAAAAAAAAAAAAAAAACAATATCTGCATTCAACAGTTCAGTTAAAAGTTCTGAGTAATGATAATAATTGTTCTTGATAGTTGTTTATCTAAGAGGGGAGGTGTCAGGTATCAGCATTCCTAACTGTTTCTGATATGTTTATCTTTAATTTGCTGAATGAACTGATCGTGAGAATCTGGCCACACAGACAGTTTCACAGGATGCATTTGTTTATGCAGCTGTACATTAAGCCCGCATGTTAATACTCATTATACTGTATATCACTGTAGCACTAGGGAAATTAATCAGTTGTAGTTTCGACCGTCACTGTAGACACATGCATTAATAAATTATATCAAAACGTGGAACTTCTTATTTATTATATTCAGTGGAAGAATATTACACATCCCTAGGTTTGAACAGTAAATCTTATGAGTTACACCCCTTGGTTTGAACAGCTAATTTTGTATGTATGAGTTACACCCCTTGGTTTGAACAGTTAATTCTGTATGTATGAGATACACCCCTTGGTTTGAACAGTTAATTCTGTATGAATGAATTACACCCCTTGGTTTGTTATTCCCTAGGTCTGTGGACTGTCTGGTGTAGATAAGCTACTGAAGCTAGAGGCTCTAGATGTGTCACAGACAGACATCGTGACGGAATCCTTACTGTGTCTGGGAGACAGTATCACGTGTCTGGGGATCTCTAACACGGAGAGAGTAAATGGGGACCAGGCTCTACAGTACATACAGAGTAAGTTAGAGGCATCACAATACACACAGAGTAAGTTATAGGCATCACAATACATGCATGTTCAAATAATGAATCCTTGGGCAATATATTTTAATAAAGTAATATGATAGGAATAATTGCTCATGAAGTGCAGCAGTGCCATTGAAACTCTGGCAAATATTATGACTCAGGCCTAAAATAAAATATTGTTTGTTTGCAGTTGCCGACCGACCTACTGAAAATGCACCCGACCCAAACTTTTTTTTAGCCATTTTGTAATATTATTTTTTTTCTCAAATTTTTCAGGATATTAAAACTGTTTCATTTTCAGTTTTTGTCTTCATCAATCATTAGTTTATACAAAGAGTGCAGCTTATTCATGTATAGTAGGCCTATGAAAAACTCTATTTTATGTTATCTATAAAAAATCTGGAACAATTTTTTTTTTCAAAAAAAAAAAAAAAAAAATTCCCTACCTACCTACCCAGACTAAAAATTATAGGTCGGCAACTGCAAACAAAGAATTATTTAAGCTTGGCCTCATGTGTCTCTTGATAAAACTTTTCCATAATTGAAAAAAATAGTTAAACTGATAAGTTCTTCTTTCTCCCTTTATAAGGGTTGGCCCTAAGGAGTTTAAGTTTACCTAGCCGATTAACCACAACAGATATTGGTCTACAGTTTATCAGTGGTAAGTACAGATTTATAAATTTTATGTTTTTAGCCGGGCTTATTGCTCAAAGAGCAATTGCCGGCTTATGTGATCCTGTTCAAGGCAGGATGTTGACCCCATAGTCGCCATTTTAAAGTTACGTGCAAAAATATAGTTCTTACTCTCAACCGCTTTTGAGATAATACGAACGCTAAATAAAGCAACAAAACTAAAACAAAGATTTATCTATATAAAATAAACATTAGCAGTAATGACTTTGAAAACTTCATAAGTCAAAGAACATAGTTCATTAGCGTAAGGATTTTTGATAATCAGTGTTACCGTAGTTCTCTACACATACACAGTAAAGCAGGAGAGGGAACCAGACTGGCCTGTTTGTTTACATTCAGCTGCGGTACCAGATTAATTCTGATTCTGACAAAAAACATTCTGATTCGGACCGTGGTATTAGGATTGAAAAACTCACTGTCAGTGTCTTATCATTTATATTGATAGTTTTAAAATAATTTTTTCATCAGAATATAAAAGTGATTCATGTAAGAAATCCATTCTACTCTGTAAATAAGCCCGGCTCTCTGTACTTCTGAGTACTTTGATTATATTCTGAATACTTGATTAATCTGAATGATTTGATTTGGAAAACAAGTGTCTGGCTTAACAAGGATTGAATGTACATGTGCAAATGTACTAGCCCATTCTTTCTTCTTCCTTATTATATTATTATGACAATTAAATGTTGCGTCCTTCTGTCCTTACTGAAACTATAGACAGGATGACAAAGTCTTTTCTGTGTGTAACTTCTTCCTTCTGTGTCTTCTGTTATCATTTAAAAGGTGAAGATCATGAACGGTGATTGATGATAAATCCAATATAAAATTATGTAAATCCTGAACAGTCATTTTTTAAAACCGTATGTGACTTAAAAAAACTTATTATCTCTAAACATACAGTTAACATAGTAAATGATGAAATCCTTTGACTGTGAAAAGGAGTAAGTTAGAAATGAATGGTCTTAAAGTAAGCTAATGATTGTACATTTCAGAGATGCCCTTAACAGAGTTGGACCTTACAAACTATATCAATGTGGGCGACGAAGGAATGGTTCACGTGGGCAAGATTAAAACGTAGGTATGATGAAAGATTGTAGTCAGAAAGATTAAATCGTAGGTATGATGAAAGATTGTAGTAAGACAGATTAAAACGTAGCTATGATGAAAGATTACAGTAAGACAGATTAAAACGTAGGTATGATGAAAGATTGTAGTGAGAAAGATTAAAACGTAGGTATGATGAAAGATTACAGTAAGACAGATTAAAACGTAGGTATGATGAAAGATTACAGTAAGACAGATTAAATCGTAGATATGATGAAAGATTACAGTAAGACATTAAAACGTAGGTATGATGAAAGATTGTAGTAAGAAAGATTAAAACGTAGGTATGATGAAAGATTGTAGTGTCGAGAGAAAGATTAAAACGTAGGTATGATGAAAGATTGTAGTGAGAAAGATTAAAACGTAGGTATGATGAAAGATTGTAGTGTCAAGAGAAAGATTAAAACGTAGGTATTGTGAAAGATTGTAGTGTCGAGAGAAAGATTAAAACGTAGGTATGATGAAAGATTGTAGTGTCGAGAGAAAGATTGTATTGAGAAAGATTAAAACGTAGGCATGATGAAAGATTGTAGTGTCGAGAGAAAGATTAAAACGTAGGTATTGTGAAAGATTGTAGTGTTGAGAGAAAGATTAAAACGTAGGTATGATGAAAGATTGTAGTGTCGAGAGAAAGATTAAAACGTAGGTATGATGAAAGATTGTAGTGTCGAGAGAAAGATTAAAACGTAGGTATGATGAAAGATTGTAGTGAGAAAGATTAAAACGTAGGTATGATGAAAGATTGTAATGAGAAAGATTAAAACGTAGGTATGATGAAAGATTACAGTAAGACAGATTAAAACGTAGGTATGATGAAAGATTGTAGTGAGAAAGATTAAAACGTAGGTATGATGAAAGATTGTAGTAAGAAAGATTGAAATGTAGGTATTGTGGAAAGACTACAGTAAGACATTATGTTCAAGGTAATACTTTAAATCACTTAATTTACACCAGTATCACAAAATGACTCAGGCATCAAATCTTGTAAATATATAACGGAGAGCTGGTGGTTGATCAGTAGAATTTAAATACAGTAAAATAACAGCAAACTGCCAGGGACTGCAATTTTGATTCATTGTATTAATATTATTAATGCATTAATATAAATTTAATTTGTTATATCTGTTAAGATAACAATAAGTTTTAAAACCACAAAGATTGAAAATCACTTTGCTATATGAGTGAGTTCCTTTATATAACCATGTTCGCAAGAACAGTGTTTTACAGTAGTTTTTAGCAACAAGTAAAAGCAAGTATCAGTAATTTTATTTTGCAAGTGGTGCTTATTGTGAAATTATGCAATAATTAATACCTGTTATACTAAAATGATGTATCAAGTTTACACTTTTTTTGCTTTATATTTTCTGTACAGTTAAAGTGTATAACACAGTTTTATTTTGTTTTTTTTCTGTAGATTGAAGAAACTCCTCCTCAGTAATACTAAAGTAACTGACCTGGGGATGGTCCATTTAAAAAGTATTAATTTTCTGTAAATTGGAAGCAGTTTGATTTATGCAAATAAAATACATTAAAAGATAATAAAATTTTCACAATTATCGCACTGAATTTGCATTCATTGAAAGAAATGGAACTTTTTAAAAGTAATGCCTGTATTGCTTATAAAATTGTTCTCTGGTTTTTTTTTCAGATTTGAAAGAACTACAGATATTATACTTGGACAGAACATTAGTTTCAGATGTGTGTTCAGAAGTTGTGAAGTGTATGTAAACATTCAAAAAATATTACTTATTTGTGGCAGTAAAGAACCTTTTCTATTAACAAAATTATTTGAAGGAGTGTTAGCTATATGTTAGCAGTAACAACATTCGATACCTACAAATGTACTTTGTATATAAAAATTCAGTGATTTAATATTGTGCCCATATTCAGAGCTCTTAACGAAATGATTGCATGAAATAGTTGTATTTCATTCAGCCTTTGATATTACTGTTCTGCTTCATTGTGTGCAGTCATAAAATACTTGAAATGTAAAGATAAAGGGCCTCTTCCATAGAAAATAATGGATTAAAACAGTACATCATCTCTCATTTCAGGCTTCCAAGGACTCGTAGAACTAAGTCTGGCAAGCACAAGGTAAAAAATTCTTATAAGATTAATGCAAATATATGTACTCGGAATGTATAGTGCTGAAAGTATAGAGTCGGTAGTTAATGTATACAGCAGTATTCCTCTTCTTTTACAGCATAACCAGCAGATTTCTGTGTAATGGTGCTCTGGGTGAATGTCAGGATTTGAGTAAACTTAACCTTTGTAGAACATCTGTGTCAAATAAAGGTAATTAGAACCCAGTATAAGTCTTCTAAAATTAATATTTTTGAGAGGGGAAAGGGGTTTTAAATTGATGGGACAACCGTAGATTGTAGTCAAAAGAACTGCACTCATTAATTTGGAAAGTTGAGTAGAGAACTATCTGCAAGTAACAAATACTGTATGTGTACTTAAAAAAGCCGGTTTCATACATGTATTTTAGCGGCATTGGCATGGACAAGGATGCACTCTTGAATACTGTTAAAATCTATTTATATATATATATACGGTGCAGAAATGTCATACTAATTGAATATGTTAAAACTATATATACACAGTGTTTGTGCTAAATTTTGAATACGCCATTTTATGTACACAAAAAGATATACAGTATTTGGCAGTCAGTCAGTATCTCATGAGCATTAATTAATTAAGTAAAGCTATATCTTGGATATGTGTACATTGCTTTGTTGAGGAAAACTGTAATCTGTTTTATTTCAGGTGTTTCCTGCTTAAAATCTGAGACCCTTTCCTTAATCAATTTAGATGGGACACGAGTGAAACCCAGCATCGTAGAAATTCTCCATCTTCAGTGTCCGAATATCAAAAGAGTGACAGTCGCAAATCTTAATCCCGCTAATTCTGATGAGGAAGATTAAAAGCACATCAGTTGTGAAAGACATTTATAGGATTTTGAAATTTTAAAGGATTAGATACACATAACACACATAAGTATTAATGGCTGGAAAGACTTTTGCAGTGACCAAAATGATGAATATATATTTAAAATTATTTCACATGAATAGAAAATATAAAAAAATAAAAATGATATTTTAAGATTTTCAAATAATCTTTAAAATGTCCCTTTATTCTGTATTAATGTGTATCTTAAAGCATGATAAGATGCATTCTTTTGCATAGAAAATGCACTTTTAAAGCTCTTCAACGAATTATTCAAATTTTATACACGTTAATTCATCTTTACTCTATTTTGTATGCTCAATGGTTTCTATAAATATAAATGTGAAAGTATGATGATTTTAATGTTAATTTATGTGCATGTATTACAAAAGTTTAAAAAAAAAAAAGATTTTTCAAAATTACCTGTTTTGTTTATGATTATACACTTCGTATGTTGTATTTTTCTACTTTATTAAATTCTAACAAGACATTTATGTCAAATCATTGAAAATATCAACCTAGATTCTTTTTATTTCAAAAAAAGAGAAAACCTATGTGACAAAGAAGAGATGAGAAAGGAGAGAAACAAAGATATTGTGCATCCAAAGATGCATCATACATGTACATGCAAGATAGGTCGAGGTACTTGTAGAGCTTATAAATCTGTATACAGAGTTATTTTTGCCCCCTGTTATTTTCGCCCTTCCACACTTGCAAACGATTTTGCCCCATTTAAATTTCGCCCAGTCACAGCTTAGTTAAAGGAATTATATTGTGCCCATCTGTGAGTAAGGTTTGCGGTGCGAAAATAAAACGGGCAAAAACCCTGTATACAGTAACTTGGAAATAAGACCAGTTCCCAAAACTTTAATACATTCCAGCATTCTTTAACTGAAAATACATCATCTAAAACCTGACAGATGACCAGGCAACAGGGAAATATACATGGCATAGATGTACATGAAAATGAATTTGCTTCAGAATAACAAGATTACCTCAGGGTATCAATGGCATTACTGAAAATGTGGCTTTCTCTGATTTTTATTTTATCTGAAGAACTAGAGAATATTATGACACACAGCTTATGCCCATTGTCAATGTAAAAATTTTATAAATGAAAGTCAAACTCCAAGGTTAAGAGGTCAAAAATGTTGGAAATGAAATCTTTTGCATCAGTCATTCACAAATTATGGTGAAGGTTTAAGTTTTAACTTTAATATGTTTTAATATAAATGTATGTCAACATTGTACCCATCTCTCTTTTATTTTGAAACAAGATTCAAGAATCTAATTCTTCTGCAGTGTGACCTTTACACTATTTATTTACAATTTAGTCCGGTCTATTCTGTATATTTTTACACAATGATCTAAACTGCAGCTAGCAAACTGCTGAATGTTATTGTCTTTCAGATCTGGAGAAAACTGTATCCTCTTCACTGTCAAATGGTGTGAAATTCTGTGAAAAAGAATTTTAGAAAAATTAATCCAAAAAAAATCTTTAAGAGACTTTTTGGTAAATAGATATTTCTCTTTTTATCTATTGGGGAATGAAAGAACAGAAAATTTTAAAATAAAAACATTTCTCTTTAAGAAAACACCTGACAAACATTTCTAAATTTCAACAAATTGGACAGCTAGGAGTACATGTAATGATTATGAGTCAAAATCTACTATGTTTAGAATTGTCTGAAATCATGCTTGCAGCATATGAAACATCTCTCTCATGTCAAACATTGATAATTTTTAAAAAATTGGACAGCTATAGGTTATTTAAAATACATGTTGTTCTAATTATGCTTATCTTTCTGCTTAATGTATTTCCCTGGTATCCATTCAGATTCAACAAACCCTTATGAATTACTGCATGTGTGCTTGTCACTGTGTTGCCTACATGCGTAAATTTTATGAAAGTATAATTATAATAAATTTATTAAGATTTAGGAGTCTTACGCTTGATCCAGTTCTGTGATGAGCTGCCAGCTGTCTGATGGAGCCTGTCTCCACATGTAAAGACAGATTCTACCATTATCCAGACCTGCTGCCAACAGATGTCTGAAAAGTATTGACGGTGGGGTAAAGATTTGTAAAAATTCCACACACTAAAATAATTTTAAAAGAAGTAAACTGAAAAAAAAACTTTCTTCACTTACAGCTGGTCATAATTCTACTGAATCATAATTTCTGATGAAGAAAACTACAATGATTATTTAAAATGCCATTCTATATACAGTGTACATGAATTCAATGCACTTAGGTATGCTAAGACAAATTGTCTAGAAAAATTTGAGACCACGTTCATGGCACTAATTAATTAAATATACAGAGAAATGTGTGTGAAAAGATTATGAAAATTGTCCTACAAACAAAATCACAGAACTGCTTTCTACCAAAAATACAGATATATGAAAATAAGTCGATCACAGAAATACTGGGAATTAATCAGACGTGTACCTATTATCAGACAGGGTATGTCTTGAGACATCTACTGCTGTGACTGAGTCCGACAAAGTGACCGAGTCCACAGGCTGAAGCGCAGAGCTGGGGTCCTCACAAAGGCCTGGATTCTGCCACACAATTATCTACAAAGCCATACAAATACAATGAAAGAAAAAGTGAGTAAGCTCACAAACCCCACACTCCCCCAAAACTCAAAGTGCTGGATTTCAAAAAATAAAGAATCTAATTTCCCGGTAATATGCATATAAAAAAATTGTGTCCTAAATATCTGCAAAGTTTGATGAAATTCTGTGCACCTTTAATAGGAGTTGCGCTGACAAACTGTTCACCACTATATTCAAGATATCAAATATCTAAGTTGTAAAGTGCCATTCTTTAAAAATAAAGGAATAATTTCCTGGTAAAATGCACATCTATGCATTGTGTCCTAAATATCTGCAAAGTCTGAAGAAATTATGTGCAGCGGTTTATGAGGGGTAAGTGACAAAATGTTCATCTGTATATTCAAGGTATGGCCAAAAATGTGTAGCTGAAAAGTGTGGAAATTCTAGAAAAAATAAAGAAATGTTTATTTATGGTAATATGCACATCTACACATTGTGTCCTAAATATCTGCAAAGTTTGACGAAATTCTGTGCAGTGGTTTATGAAGTTGCGCTGACAAACTATTTCTCTATATAAAAGGTATGACCAAAACCTTTAATGTTTTTGTAGCGGATGTCAAAAAAATTGTCAATCCTGAATTTCCTGGTAATATGCACATCTACATATTGTGTCCTAATATATCTGCAAAGTTTGATGAAATTCTACATTTTGCATTATTAAATATATATCTCTATATTCAAGGTATGGCCAATGCCAAAGTTATTGTAGAATAAAAAAATAAGTGGAAAATGCTCTACAAACTGTATATATATATTTTAAAGGTATTGCCAAATGCCTAAGTTAAAAATGTAATGTTTTTTTTTTTTTTTAGAAAAAATAAAAAGAATTTCCTGGTAATATGCACATCTACACATTGTGTCCTAAATACCTGCAAAGTTTGACGAAATTCTGTGCAGCGGTTTATGAATTTTTACCAAAACAAAGGACAATTGACTAAAGGTGAAATATTAAAAGCAATCTACTTTTTGCAAAAACATTATTTCCTCATGCAACTATTTTTAATGATATTTACATAAAGAAAAAGATGCATGGATTTCATGACTATTCTAACTTTATCTGCATATAAAAAATATTGATTGATAAATTCTGTCACCTTGCACCTTTAATACATTACAAAATTCCAGATTTTTTCAAAATCAATTTACTTGTTTTCCATGCTTTATAAAAATAATTGTCCCTAAGATTATCATGTGACCTTTTTATCTCAAGATGCTGTGAAGAAATGTGAATTGTATGATAAGTGATCTTTTTATTTCAGGATGCCAAGAAAAAATGTGTACTGAATAATTATGTGACCTTTTTTTCTCAATACATTGTGCAGAAATGTTTACTGTATTATAAGAGACCTTTTTATCTGAAGATGCCATGAAGAAGAGGTGGTGAAGAAATTTTACTGTATTAAAAGTGACCTTTTTATCTCGAGATGCTGTGAAGAAAAGTTTACTGTATTATGTGACCTTTTTATATCGAGATGCCGTGAAGAAATGCTTACAGTATCATAAGTGACCTTTTTATCTTGAGATGCCATGAAGAAATGATTACCGTACGATAAGTGACTTTTTTTATCTCAAGATGCCATGAGAAAATGTTTACTATATGATATGTGACCTTTTTATCTCGAGATGCTGTGAAGAAACGTTTACTGTCAGGACTCCAGGCACACGACCAGATAATCCTTGAATGTACCGCCGACTTCTTGTCTGTTCCTAACAACTTGGTGAAAAGAGGATCTGAAAAAATAAATTTAATCAGATCTTATATCAATAGGAAATTAAAAAATCACAATATATACAACTGAGAAATATATCTCTTTAAATGAAACCTGCTGTTCCAGTTGCTAAAATAGCAATGTTCTACTATGGAAAAGCCCAAAAACATGTATGTGTCAAATTGAAGAAATTTAAGTAGGTGGTCACAATGGTACTAACTAATGAAGTTTTTGAGCAAGTCTCTAATTTTATTCAGTGTTCTAGGAGAACTTGTGGAAAAAGATGAGTATACTGTAAAAGTAATACATTTAGCTGTATATTCTTTTTATTGCCCTTCATGGAAAGTAACTTCAGTCTGTTAATTCAAGTACAACACTAAATGTCTTGCACGTGTAGACATACTGTAAATAAAAACTTAAGGAAATGTGCTAAATCAAATCTTCGCTAACTTGCTCAAAAATCAATCTCCACTAAATGTTATAAATTTTCAGTAACCCCACGCATAATGGACATATTGATGAATGGAAATATACATAGACACCTTCATCACTACATACTCATATTTCTGCTTCTCAAGACAGATGGTTATAAACCTACCAGACTCGGGCTGATCATGTGACTTTTTGCTGTACACTGCCCAGGTTCTGTCCCTTGATACAGACAGCAGGAAGTTACCACAAGGTGAGAACGCCATCTGTGTGACAGTCAGGGTGTGACCACTCAGGGTACATAACTGTGTCCAGCTAGTCGTATCCCAAAGAATGATCCCTGCAAACTCTGCTTTGGCTGCCTATGATTTATCAGAAGCATATACATGAATTGACATGCATAATTGACATGCATAATAATATTGATAAGATACACTGAAGTAAAGGAGTACAGTTACCGTATCTACTTACCTATAAGTTGGTTTACCCGAAGTTAGTGTTATTTCTTTAATTTTGGAGGAAATTACCATTGATCTGCTTATATGTTGGTACATTTTTGGGGGTCAGAATATGTTCACAATTTTACATTTATATTCTTTTGACTTTTACCTGTGTTTCAAACTCGGGGTATAAAATCAACATTTGATCTCTTATAAAACAATGAGTAACTTTAAAGAAAACTATAACACAAGACTCTATGGATGAGCCCTACGGCATGATAACAGATTTTGCTGAACATTTTGGAGATTAAAGCATCTTTAGATGTATAAATGTACATACCTTACAGGAAGATGCTAAGATTTTACCGGCAGGATCGCTGGCGAGAGAGAAGATCTCATAACCGTGTCCATACAGTTTCTGAGTCTCGGGCCACAGTGTGTTCTGTAGAAGCTGTTCTTCTGTAGGAGGCTCTATAATTATAAAACATTCAAGTTAATCTCTCTCCATGAATATTCTGTGCATTTAATTTTTTTTCCCTATAAATATAAATTGCAATCAATTTCAAGGACTCAATTCCCGTCTCTTCTTCAACATGTTCAAGGGGGATAACTTTAACAGAAATCCCAAGAAAGCTGACACAGAAGCTCAAAACTCTGAGTTAATGAGTAACACCTGTACTGCCTCGTTTTGTCACCTGTGAGTGTCATGGGTGAGAAGTACACCTCTGGGTACTGATCATTAGGGTGGGGCTGCATCTCCCTGTCATCAGAAATCTTCTCCCCCCCAAATACGGCCTTATTGGACAGCCCCAGGGCAGGGACACTTGCTCCCTCCGGACGATTCTGAGCCTCCTGTGAAGGTCAAACACAGAGGGATAGTAAGCAGGGTTAAGAAAGACAAGGTACTTTTGAAATATATTGTACTGAAGCATAAAGCAATTATATCTACAAAGTCAATCTGATAAGAAATCAAGATCTTTGTTACATCCCAAAATTCTGGTGGTCACTATTTTGGAGCATAAGCATAACAAAGATCTGATATTTACGAGATTGCAAACAAAGTGCGTACATGTACTGGTATTTTTAATGGCACAATAAGACATCAATGAATGCTTGCTAATGTACTTTACCATTATTTCAACTTCAAAAAAGTTTTCACAAAAATCTGTTCTAAGGAATTGTAATCATAAATACAATATTTAAACACAAAATAATTCTCTGGCAAAAACCAAAAATTAGGTAATGCATGAAAGATCAATTCCTATTAAGCCTGCTTGTACAACTTCACTATAAAAATTTAATTGAAATAAACTTAATTATATTCATGCAGCTTTATTCTTAATGATCACATGTATTACTATGCAAGGACTCCACTGTATACATTTATATTTACCTCTTTCTGCAGTTCTTTTGTCAAGTCTTTACCACAGAGTGTACAGAAATTCTCAATAAAATTTCTCGGAGCTTCAAATGCCCGTATCACTTTTTCATCAGCACCCGAGGCAAACTTGTACCGATTGATGATAGCCAAGCATTGGAGGTCATAGCCATGGACTTGTGGACGTGCAATCTCATACCAAATCTCCTGAAAATAGAATGTATTCAATAAAAATTACATTAATAATTTCAATTTAAACTAAATTTTAACTGCATGCATTTGGTACAAAAAGACTGAAAAAATTAAATGTTATTTGTTCCTTTGAAATCGATTATTCTCTTCAACTTAAAATAGACAAAAGGTGAATTTCATTATTCATTTTTTTCTTTCATTTTTTCATACAACAAGCAATTTTCAAAAAAGAATGTGTAACTCTTCTAATCTTACATACTGATACATGTGGTCAAGTCAATGGAAAAGATTCCATACAATATGAACAGATTTCCCTTTGACAACTAGTATGTAGCCAATCAACTTTCTGTAACTCAGACATTTGTAGTCAGTAAAGACAAACCTTTCCTTGTTGGTAAATTGTTGGTGCGTGAAGTCAGTAAATACAAACCTTTCCTTGTTGGTAAATCGTTGGTGCGTGAAGTCTCGTGGTCTGGTCCTTGGACACGGTCATCACAAACTGACCCCCCGTGTCCCATCCCAGGTCCTCTACTTCATCAAAATGACCACTCCCTGTCACCACCGGGCGCCACTGGTTACTTGTCTGTGGGGAAAAACAGTAAGGTTTACTTGATAATAGATCTGGAGGAGTTTTCTTGCAATAAAGACCTCATATTTGGTATGCATACTTCACAAATCAAGTTCTTTCAAATCACACCAAGATCAATGACCTTGTGACCTTGACTGTGACCTTTATGCTAAAAAAAATTTTTTTTTAACTTTGTTGCCGCCGGGCGCATAGTGTTTCACAAACACATCTTGTTTCAAATGAAGGAACTTCTAACAGAAGTACTAATTTAGAATACCTGCTACATCTGTAAGCCTTTATTGTACGTAAATGCAGTTGCATTAATTTTTTTCTGTGATCACTTATGCAATGTAAAGAAGCAAAAAAACAAGTTTATTTATATTATACATGTAAGATATACTTCAGGTGATAGCTTTAGTTGATAGAAAAAGTAAATTTTGTAATTGTTAAATACAAATTCAAAACAATCCTTAAAGGAAATACATTGAACTGGTAAACATATAGAATAAAAGAATAGTGATATGCTTATATTACTGTTAACTGAAAATACATATACTATAACATACATGTATTTACAGTATTGCCCTCACCTCGTTATACGACCACTGATGGAAGGCCCCCTGGTAACCATGGGCGATGATGGACCTGCCAATTACAAACAGTGCCTACAGTACATATAACACACCCTATAATGTACCCTCCCACCTCACCCACTCGTACCTGTCAATTACAAACAGTGCCTACAGTACATATAACACACCCTATAATGTACCCTCCCACCTCTCCCACTCGTACCTGTCAATTACAAACAGTACCTACAGTACATAAAACACAACCGAAAATGTACCCTCCCACCTCTCCCACTCGTACCTAACAATTACAAACAGTGCCTACAGTACGTAAAACACACCCTAAAATGTACCCTTCCACCTCTCCCACTCGTACCTGTCAATTACAAACAGTGCCTACGGTACATAAAACACACCCTAAAATGTACCCTCCCACCTCTCCCACTCATACCTGTCAATTACTGATACAAACAATTCCTACAGTACATGTAACACACACACACCACCCCCCATACTAGTGTTCCTGCCCTCAACCCTCTTCTTTCAACCATCAAATATAACAAATTAGGGAGAGGGCTAAAATAGGCTTTGCCTGCTGCCCAATCCCATTCACTTTTGTGAATAAAATTTTGTATAAATAAAAAAAAAAATAAAAATAACAAGTCCTAAAATTCATGTATCATGATGCCATTATCAATTAAAATAGCATCACAGTATTACATGTACATGTATATACTGCATTGCAAAAATAATTTCAAATTAATTCAAAAATTGGGAACAAAACTTGAAATGCTACAAATGTATTAACATTATAAATGATGTTTGCAATACCCTATTTGAGCACAATTTTATTCACCTGTTCAACCCAGAATTTTAATCACCTGTTCAACTCAGAATTTTATTCACCTGTTCAATCCATACTCCTGATTCTGGGTCAGGCATCCAGATAATCATAGTCTTATCCATGGAAGCAGAGAGTAATTTCATTGGTTGGTGACTGGAGGTTTCCATGACTACAGGGGGCTGCCATCGAATGCTGTAAATCCAGTTCTCATGACCGCTTAACACAGATTCCAGACTCACTGCAAATGTCTGCTTCTTTTCTGTTTTAAAATAAAGAAATAAAATACTTTAGATATTGGTAAGAAATCAACATTTGAACCTGACTATATGTATGCATAGTTGCCTTATATAATAAAATGAGCAGTTTTAAAAAGACCTTCCACATGCTCTTGGGAGGTAGTGGTTCATTTGAATTTTTTTGGTCAAATTCACAAAAGCATGAATGATTCTGAATTGTGCAATAAAATTTTCCAGAAAACTTTTTTTCCCATCATTTAAATGAAAATGCTGCATACTTATTAACAAAGAAAATCTTTACTTTTATATGTAAATGAGAACGTATTTTCCCTCATTTTGATCTCGTCATCTATGGACAACTCTTGCACTGATTTGTTCACTTCATCACTGCCCGCATCTCGTCGAGATAATCTCCAGATTCTGATGAGATAATCCTGTCCAGCGCTCGCCAGCATTACATCTCCACTATCTGTCAAAAATTCATACATTTAGTCAGTTTTCTGGTGTTAGTCTCCAAAGAGAAGATAACTCTTACCATCTCTTTGACATAGAGCATTATTTATACCACTGTATGTGTGCTTTTAAAAGCAGCTGGCTTCATATTGTAGCAGTTTTGATGCAGATAACAATGTGTTAATACACAATTATTGTAAATAAATTGTAACTGAATATGTGTGCTTTTAAAAGCAGCTGGCTTCATATTGTAGCAGTTTTGATGCAGATAACAATGTGTTAATACACAATTATTGTAAATAAATTGTAACTGAATACAATGCAGGGCACAAAAATCTGTAGTGCTAACTTATGGCTACAGCAAGCCATAACACTGAATTTTGAGTTAACATTTATTTATGTACAAATATGTCAGGTGTTTTATTTTCCCTACCCTCCACACAGAAGTCCACAGCTCTCACCCAGTCTTCATGTCCTTGGAGGGAAATCACCTTGTTAAAAAGCTTAAATAAATATAGGAATATTGTGTTACATTATGTATTAATTCTTGAGCATTTTAAAAATGTCTATACAAGTTCATTTGTTATTATATTTCTAGTACATGTTCACAATGTTATGTTTGTCTTGACAATTTTATAAGGTATCTACCTGGTATTGCTTTTTACAATAGAAGAAAAAAAATTACATGTAATCTCTTTTCAGGTTTACATTTATTTAAATTCTTGTGTATAAATTTTAAGTATTGTCTAATCCAGCTAATATCCGTAGAACCATTGGTGTCTAGAATGATCAAGTTTGTCTGTACTACATGTAGTACCTGGAATAATTTACAGTCGTCCTGTAAGCTGTATAAATGAATTTTATGGTCATCACATCCACACGCCAAGAGAGGAACTACAGAATAATACCAGTACATGTACAGAAATTATACATTAATTACAAATTTGTTGAACATGTTGGAATGCAAACCAAATATATCATGATCACAAAAAAAAATGTTTTATTTCATTTTTAATTTCTTTTTTTTTCATAAAATTTTTGAGTTATTTCAACACATTTTTTATTTTTATCAATTAAAGGAAAATTTCTTCATAGAATTTTTAAATTATTTCTGCATAAGCTGATTGGATTTCGTTTCCTCAATATGATGAAAATTTGTTTTATAGAAAAAAAATAGCAGGTTACATATGTACATGCATGAAAGAGAAAATGGTCATCTTGATTTTATATAAAATCTCTGTAAGTCTTGCTGAGTTACTAATTTATATACTTACTCCCTGTAGTTGGTAGACAGATGAGAGAGACATCTAGAACGAAACCTGTCCCAAAACTGAGGCTCTGTAACGGAGTGAAATCTAAGGGGGAGAAAAAGAGATTGTTATTTTATGTCACTTCTTACAACTGACACTTGGACATAAAAAAAAAAACCTGACTGTGGAAATTTTGATAATGTGATGACAATGGTATGAGAGAGAAAAAAAATACAAGTATGTTATCAGAGTTGGAGATAATATTTCACTTACTGTTTCAAAAGAAAAACAAACATACTTTAATTGAAAAGTCTTAGTTATACCAGGGTAATTTAATTATCTTATGAATATTTTATTTTTACAGTTCACTTTAAATGTTTTAAAAATGCAAACATTTCATTATTAATTCACAGCATGTACAGAATCTTCTATATATATATATACACATGTACTTACCATTTGATCCTGAATCTTTCCATATCATAAGCTGAGAATCTGTTGAACCTGTGACGATGTATGTCTCATTTTGATTGGTTGTTTCTATACCATTCACTGTTGTGATTGTAAAAAAATACAGGTATTTTATCAGAGTTGTTACTTTGCAAATATTTCACTTTGATATTTTTGTTGCAGTGCAGTTAAGGTTACAAAACAAACATACTTTAATTGAAAACTTGACTATGACATCATACACAATATATTTAATTTCTTTGAATATTTTATTTTTTAACAGTTCACTTTAAATGTTAAAAACTTTCAAACATGTTGTTTTGTCGTTAGTTAATTCACATAACAAGTTATAAACAATTCACTGATCGCAATACATATATATACACATTTCTTACCATTTGTATGCAGTGAGAGACAGATCAAGTAATATTTTCTCAACAAAATATGTGTTCTCTAATTAAATAAAATATTATTTAAAGATTTTCTATGGACCAATAACTTGAATTTAATGTCTTCTTCACTATTTTATTAACATATTTTTTGTACATTACGTATTTAATTGACACTGCCGTATATTTGTATGCAAGTACATCGGAGGGTAATGTGGGGTGTCTTAATAAATCGATCTAGTGCAAGGGCATACACTGTATGGATCAAAGTAAGTTTTTACATTTCAACTATAGAACTATTAAGGTATCTGAAAAGTGCTGCGATCCTGAGAATGAAATCTTAAAAACAATTTAATTATATCAATATTTCATGCCGCTGACCAGCAAAATATATAGCATTCGGTCATACACAATTTGCAAACAGAGAGAAAAAGTCTTTTTATTTATGTACTAAACTTGGAAATTTAACTTGGTTATGCCCTTGCACTAGTGATATTTATATGTAACATCAATTTTTCAAGTCAATGTGCGAAAATCGCGTGACTGCCGCATCACGTGACTAGTCTAAATATAAAATATAATCGCCCTCGATATGTAGTTATTAATCATAATTACAATTATCCGATATAAATAATGTACTAAAAATAATCGCCATCCCGATTACGAATACGTTTTTAAATACAAAATTTAGTCGATATTTCCATTGCGCACATTAACTGTACTGCGTGGTTACCCATGGGTGATCTTGTCTTTTACTTAAATAAAATGCAAAATTTGATAAGGATTTATGTCAGGAGGAAACCTAATACAGAAAATTAAGTGTAATCTGAGATTCTAAAATGATGCTCTAAAATGTAAAGAAATGTACTTCTAACATGTAAAATGATAATTTTTTCACCAGGCAGTCTTGGGAATAATCTGTGTGTAGAATCTACACAATGTGTTGTGTAATATAATATTTTTATGCGCCCGAATTTTTTCGGGGGGCATATTGTTTTTGTCCTGTCTGTTTGTTTGTCTGTCTGTTTGTCTGTTTATCTGTTTGTCTGTTTGTCTATCTGTTGTCAACTTGAACTTTCGCCATAACTTTTGAACTGTAAGAGGTAGAGACTTCATATTTGGTATGCATACTCCACTAATTAAACACTTTCAACTGACACCAAGGTCAATGACCTTGTGACCTTGACTGTGACCTTTATGCTAAAAATACCTTTTTTGAACTTTCCCCATAACTTTTGAACAGTGAGAGATAGAGACTTCATATTTGGTATGCATACTCCACTAATTAAACACTTTCAACTGACACCAAGGTCAATGACCTTGTGAGAGACCTTTATGCTAAAAATACCTTTTTTGACTTTCATATTTGGTATGCATATGCCACTAATTAAGCACTTTCAACTGACAAAGAGGACAACATGCGACCTTGCCTGAGACCCATTTGCTAAAAATAGCTTTTTGGAACTTTATTGCCACCTGGCGCATAGTGTTTCACAAACACATCTTGTTTTTTAATAAGATAGACAAAAGCACCCTACCTGATCCACACCAGATTTTTTCCAGACAATTGCTGTTTTATCAACAGAGCCTGACACAAAACGTTCATCTGATGCTTGGGCTATGGTAAAAAAAAATATCAGGACTTTATCAGCAGTTACATAGTTAGAAAAAAATAATAATAAAGTTGTATATTGTAGATCACTCAATTTTCATGACATTTTATTTTCGCGAGAAAGTCATTGACTCTTGATAAGCCAGACAAAATTTTCACAAATTGTGGTTAATGATCTATATAATCTTAAGTAATATGTGAGAATTAAATTTCCAAGGCATAAATAGACCCATGAATGTACACCCACCATGAAATTTAAAATTCCATAAGCATTACATGTACTACTCAAAATTTTTCAACCATGAAATCAAGTCCCAACAAACCAATATTTTTTCCTAAAACCTCGAAAATTTGACCCCACAAAAAAATGTGATTTTAGGAAATGTTTTTGTAATATTTCAGAGCATATTGAACCTGAACCAATATTCCCCAAAAATATCTTGATGCATATTGTGTAGAATGAAATTGGGATGCACCAGTTAACCGATAATATCGCACTGCACTACTGTTGAAGGGGGGGGGGTTTACACCATCCATTCATCAGTTGCCTGAGTTCTTATTCTCACCCTTTGTATTCCGAATCCATTTAACACAGTTCACTCGACCAGTATGTTTGACCAGGGTATGAGAGATAGAACCATGTCCATTTGCATATCCCTAAAATAAAATTCTTTCCTTTAAAAATTATTAAATGAAGATGTATACATGTGTTAAGTGGAATAAAAAATAATGCAAGTTTTATATTTAAAAAAATAAACAGTTTTTTTTAATTCCATTGAAGGCAATTTAAAACTTAAAGAATATATTGCACAACACATGCAAAGAACTGTTTAAATAATTTTTATAGTGAATAACGATTAAAATGGATGGACTTTTTCCTTACTTCTGGGTGATAAATCGCCACAGCATGACAGGCCCCATAGCAGACAGTCCCTGACGTTGACCAATCTACACACTGGGGAGTCCTGTTACACCCACAGCTGATATAAATAGGCTTCACATCTCCCATCATCAGTCAATATTTTGTCATGCTGGTAATTTTCAATACTGGATGTAAGCACAAGCAAAGTAAAGACAAAGTAAACAGTAACGGATTTCCGGATTAATACATGCTTGTATGAAAACAAAAACTCTAGTATGCATGTACATTTAATAAATTAAATCATGTTGAAAATAAATATAGAAATACATGCAATGCAATATTTTACATGATAAAAATCAATGTGTTTTCAGTTTGAGAACGTCTTTGTAATTATTCGGGGAAAAGAATGTCGCACATAAAAAACTTGAAGTCTACACAGTTCCCACCTACTTCTTGTGTGTGTTTTCGGTTTATGAAACTCAATCAAATATTTCATGTGATCGTTTTTAAACTGTTATCTGTTGGTAACTGAGGGTTGTTGAAAATGTAGAAAAGGTAATCAATGAAACAATACAGTGTACACGCTAAGTCAGTAAAAAATCTTATCTAAGAATGTACGAGGATAAGTTATAAAAATAAAAATAAAACAGCATATGATGCCAGATGTGTAAGACATTTTACATGTAGCTTTGATCCCTAAGTACTTAATAGAAAACTGGCTGTAGTTTTGATGCAAAATTAATAATTGATAATTTAGTAGACACTTAAGCAGTGTATATGATCTTGTTAATTTTTTAGGATGATTCCCAGGTCTCAGAGTGCCCTTCTCCTCTCCTGGCACCGATTCCAGAATTTAAGCCATCGATTGATTGGTTACCAGCTGAGGAGCAATATACGAGACTGCTACAGTGTTCTGAATGTGACTAACGACAGTTCTGATGATGAAGTGAAGGAAGCGTACCTCAGACTGGCCAAGATCTATCACCCTGATTCCGGGACTTCTTCGGCCGACCCTCGCAAATTTAATCAGATTAAAGAGGCATACGTAGCTATTAAGGTATAAAAATACTTGGTTAAATATTGCCTCTTTCATGTCACTTTGAGCAAGGAAATTTTATCATTCTTGAGTTGTTTTGAAAAATGAAATGTTTTAATTGCAAGAAATCGAATTAAATCTGTCAAGAAAACATCTATAGAATTTCTGAATCATTGATTTTAATGATGATTTTCAGTTTGTTAGTTATTTGAAAAAGAAGAAAATGCCTACATAAATAAAAATATTACCTGACTTTAATAGAGTACATTAAACAAGTATTTTTTTAAATGATGGTCTTGGGTTCATTACATCTTAAATTAACTGTGAATATTAACACATTTTTTTTACTTTAATGTTTAGAGTCATAGAAGTGAGCGAAGTACCCATACAGACACAGACCATTCCATAGAAGATGACCTTGACTTTGATATAAAACACACGGTTCCTCAGCATCGGCAGTATCTCAGCTATGATGTATGTAGTACACATCATTTCTGTTGGCTTCAAAGCAACACATCATTGTAAGAATGTTCATTATCATGGTTTTGAAATTCAGTAAACCTTTGGTCCATTTCTTAGGAGGAAAATATCTGAGTTTGCTGTCTTAATTTAAGAGATTTTATTTGTGTTACCATTAGAATTTTAATTCTTCCATGACATCTATATATTTTTTTAAAATTGATTAAATCTTTAGGAGGTATTTTCTACATACATGTAATGCCCTGTTCACAGCCTTGTACTGTATGTAGTGTTTATGAGATCAATCACTGTTCATTATCTTCATTTTTTCCATTCACACCATGATCATGAATGTAAAATAATTTTTTCCTATAGATTTCATATGGACTAATTTTTATCACATCTACAGGGCGTGGGATTTGGCACTCCACAACAGAGACAAAAACAATATGCCCAACACAGAGTAAGAAAAGTCTCAGAGGATTTATTTGAGCACAAGAAGGCTAGATGGATGAAGCCATCAGAGACGGCTTTGGTGAATAAAACCAAGTCAATCGCTCGCAGAAACAAAATGAGGTATAATTTTTCATAATCTAATGCAAATTGTAAGTTATACCTGCTGGGATTTTTAAAAAGAAAGCTTGGGTTATCCATATCCAACAATCTACCTATTCCTACACATTTCCTTTTAAGTTTTTAATTTTTTGTATGATACATGTAGTGTTTTTTGTTTTACATACAATTCAAAACTATGCTATATTTTAAATGCATTAAAGCCTTTTGCATGCATGTACAATGAACCGTTGCATGTTGATATACATGTGTAAGTAAATATTTTGCTATCTCATGCTGTAGTTTAACAAAATGCCCTTAAAGCAGTGATTGCTCTCATTTCCAGTAAAACCATTGACCGCGTGGTTGAGGATTTGATTCAAGAGTCCATGCAGAGGGGGGACTTTGACAACCTTGCGGGTTACGGTAAACCTATCCAGTACAAAGACAGGGACAGGAACCCGCTAGTAGACGCCACCACGTATAAAATTAACCAGATGCTGAAAGAAGAAGGATTTGCTCCGGACTGGATCATGCTAGAGAAAGACATAAGGTACATTGCAAACCAGTCAATAAAAGAGTAATTCATTAATCCCCCAACTACTCTTGCAACTCTTAACATTGGCTGTTTCTGTTTCACCACTATTGAATGAGGACTTTTTACTTGTGATGTACGCATAGCATTGACATCGTGGTTTAACAATTGTTATGTTGGACTGGTCAATAATGAAACTGTTAGACCAATGCAAAAACTATTTAATTGATGGACATTTTACAGGTAATAAATATATAAAGAAATATATAAGGGTATTACAAATTTTTATAATTGTAATTTGTTGCAAATTTTCTGATATCTGCATTTATATGTTGAATTCATACTAAGAACGATCTTTTATTATTCTTTATTCTCACATTTTCGACTTCTCAAGAACCACTGGGCCAATTTTGACCAAACTTGGTACAAAGCATCCTTGGGTAAAGGGGAATTTAAATTGTTAAAATGAAGGGACATATCCCCTCGCAAGGGGAGATAATCAAGAAAAGACAAAAATAGGGTTGGGTCATTAAAAAATCGTCTTCTCAAGAACCACTGGGCTCTAAAGCTGAAAAGATGTGGAAGCATCCTGGGGTGTGTAAAAGTTCAAATTGTTCAACATTTCCCTGATCAATGACAATGTCAAGAAATTTTATATAGTCCCTATATAGGAAAAATCTCAAAATCTTACAGCTACGACACTGGGAACTAGAGAAATTTATGTGACAAGCACACAGAGTAGTGTAGACTGCTGTTCCTTCATGACGGGGGAAGCTTGGCATCAGAGGCGATAAAGTTTTATATAGAAATATATAAAAAAATCATTATAATGGCTCCTTTAGGAATCACTGGGCAGAAAAGCTGAAATTTATGATAAGTGATCTGTGGTATAATGTAGAAACAAATCACATCATGTTTTCCTGGAAAAAATCAAACACTTCTTGATGGGTATATCGAAATTTGCATTAATTTAAATTTCTGATTGATAAATAATTTATCTCAAATTAGTTTTTTTTTAATAATAACTTTTGATTGATTGTGTATTAAAGTTTTAAGATAACATATCTGTGATAATATTGATTTTGTTGACCATGTTATGTCTTTGATAATGTTAAATACATGCATGTATTTGTTAAAGTACTGATTGCAGTAAATTGTTTTAAAAAATATGTTACAGCAAGTAATTTAAAATGTTCAAATAAGAAACTTGGATGTAAAGGCTTTTCACTTGGGGAATACCATTGTATATAGAAATATATAGGTACATTTATTGTCTGTATGGACACTGGGCCATGTTGTTGACATGGCTGCTATGGCCTATAATTAATCAAAATGGATTTCCAAGTTAGTGTGGTTCAAAATTTTACATAGAAATATATACAAAAATCTTTATTTAAATCCTTTCATGGCACCACTGTTTCCATGCATTTTTTTCCCATGGAAGGACTGGGGTAAATATTGTGTATCAAAATGTCTAAATTATGATTTTGATGCAGATGTCAAAACCAAAAAGCTAATTCAGAACAGAAAGGTCAAAGCTTCTCATGTGAGCGATGTGGCCCATGGGCCTCTTGTTATAATTGTAATTTGTTGCAAATTTTCTGATATCTGCATTTATATGTTGAATTCATACTAAGAACGATCTTTTATTATTCTTTATTCTACTACAGTTATTGTCGAGCTAATGAAATGCTGCATTCATTATTCTCCAGTAACATCGAAGTTTTCTCTGTGTAGGGATGGTATATCTGAATCCAGACATAACCTTGCCAGAGTACTAGAAAGAATAGGACATCCCCCATTTCCATCCTCTCATCTGGAAAAGATTTGGAAGTATGAATGTGAAAAGTTCAAAGCCAACATTTCCCTGATCAATGACAATGTCAAGAAATTCAACCTGATTGTCCCTGTAATGAAGAAGCAGCTCATACCTTACAGCTACGACAGGGAACTAGAGAAAGTCGTGACAAGCCACACAGAGTACCTAACTGCTGCTCCTTCTAAAAGCTTGGCATCAGAGGCGTATAGTATTTTAGGAGATAGAGATAAAATAAATCATTATGATGGCTCCTTTAGGAATCAAGACTCAGACTCTAATTCTTATGATAACGTGATTCTGTGGGGAGAAGTATGGAAACAAATCAAACTGATGTTTTCCTGGAAAAAATCTAAATCTTCATGACGGGTATATGAAAAACTACCTTAATTTTAATTCCTGATTGATAAATAATTTATCTCAAATTGTTGTTTTTTTAATAATAACTTTTGATTGATTGTGTATTAAAGTTTTAAGATAACATATCTGTGATAATATTGATTTTGTTGACCATGTTATGTCTTTGATAATGTTAAATACATGCATGTATTTGTTAAAGTACTGATTGCAGTAAATTGTTTTAAAAAATATGTTACAGCAAGTAATTTAAAATAAAACAGAAACTTGGATGTAAAGGCTTTTCACTTGAGCACATACCATTGTGTATGAAAATAATATTTGTACGTTTATTGTCTGTATGGACATTCACATGTTGTTGACATGGCTGCTATGGCCTATAATTAATCAAAATGGATTTCCAAGTTAGTGTGGTTCTAAAATTTAGATGAGAATATACACAAATGAAGTATTCCTTTATTTATGAATCCTTTCATGGCACCTGTTTCATGCATTTTTTTCACAAAGAAAACTCTAAATATTGTGTATCACTTGTAAGCTACTGATTTTGATGCAGATGTCAAAACCAAAAAGTGAGGTTATGGTAATTTTAATCATACAAATAAAACTTGTTCAACTAACTTTGTCAGACAATAGATTAGAGTTGCAATTACAAGTACTGTATATGAGTGCAGCAGATACCTATACATGCAGACTTTTAAAACATTTAAATAAACTGTATTTTTAGCTCTTCTGAGCCAAAGGCTCAAAGAGCTAATGCTATGGCCATTTGTGCGGTGTGCGTCGTGCGGTGTGCGTTAACTTTATAGAATATTGGCCATAACTCAAGAACCCCTTGGCCAATTATTGTCAAATTTGTCACAGGGTGTCCTTGGCCCAAGGGCTACCATTTATACTAAAACTAGGGATGGGACCCTAAAACAAGGGGAGATAATCACAAAAATAAAACCAAAAGTACTGGTTGCTAAAAAATCTTCTTCTCCAGAACCACCAGGCAGATTTTCACCAAACTTACATACAAGGGTTGGAATATGTTGAAGATTAAAAATTGTTCAAGGCATGACCCTGGGGCAAAGGGTGTGGTCTCAAGGTCACTTCAAAGTTGACCAAAATTTACACTTATTAAAAACATTGATATTTTGCTTACTATAAAGACTAGGATCATCAAATCTTGTAAGTTGATGCATCTCAGGACTTGACATCATGTTAATACAAAAGTAGGTCACGGTGACCTACTTTTTAAATTTTACGGGCTTTTGTTTTCAAATTGATTTTGAGGCATATTTTGGACACTTTAAGGCCTATGATCATGAAACTTTGTCAGTTGGTGCATCTTGGGTCCACAAACAACATCAATGTAAAAGTAGGTCATCGTGACCTACTTTTTGAATTTGATACCTAATCTTTTCTAAAACATTTAATCCCATTATTTCAGACACCGAGAGGTTTAGAATCACCAAATCTTGTAAGTTGATGCATCTTGGGGCCTTAAAACATATTTATTAAAAAGTAGGTCACTGTGACCTACTTTTTAAACTTTGCTGGCATTTGTTTTCAAATTGTTTAAAAGGCATATTTTGAATACTATTAGACCTATGATCATCAAATTTTGTCAGTTGATGCATCTCTGGTCTTCAGAAAATGTCGACCAAAAAGTAGGTCACTGTGACCTACTTTCGACATTATATGGCTAGATTTAAGTATCTCGGGTACTTATTGGCTTAGAATCATCAAAATTTGTGAGTTGATGCATCTTGGGTTTTTGGAGATTAACGACCAAAAAGTAGGTCACGGTGACCTACTTTTGACATTTTATGGCTATATTTAAGTATCTCAGATACTTATTGGCGTAGAATCATCAAATTTTGTCAGTAGATGCATCTTGGGTTTTCGGAGAATGTCAACCAAAAAGTAGGTCACAGTGACCTACTTTTGACATTTTATGGAAATTTTTATGTATCTCAGTTACTATTTGGTATTTAGAATCATCAAACTTTGTCATCTGATGCATCATTGGTTTCCGGAGCATGTTGACCAGAAAGTTGGTCACTGTGACTTACTTTTGACATTTTATGGAAATTTTTATGTATCTCAGTTACTATTTGGTTTAGAGTCATCAAACTTTGTCATCTGATGCATATTGGGTTTTCGGAGAATGTCAACCAAAAAGTAGGTCACAGTGACCTACTTTTGACATTTTATGGAAATTTTTATGTATCTCAGTTACTATTTGGTTTAGAATCATTTTGTCATCTGATGCTATATTTAAAAAAGTTGGTCACTGTGACTTACTTTTGAATATCTCGGGTACTGATTGACTTAGAATCATCAAACTTTGTCAGTAGATGCATCTTGGGTTTTCGGAAAATGTCGACCAAAAAGTAGGTCACTGTACATGTGACCTATTTCTGACATTTTATGGCTATATTTAAGTATTCTAGGGTACTTATTGGCTTAGAATTGTCAAACTTTGTCAGTTGATGCACCTTGGGTTTTCGGAGAATGTTGACCAATAAGTAGGTCACTGTGACCCACTTTTGAATATCTCAAGTACTTATTGGCTTAAAATCATCAATCTTTGTCAATTAATGCATCTTGTGTTCTAAGAAAATTTCAAAAAGTAGGTCACCATGACCTACTTATAGTATTTTATAGTTACATTTGAATATCTTCAGCCCTAACTGGCTAAGAATCATCAAACTTTGTCAGCTGTTGTATCTTAGGTCTTAGGATAGATTGTATAATTTATCAGAAGAGCAATTCAAGGCCCTTGGGCCTCTTGTTAATACCATTTTTAAAAACTCAGAAACCATTCTTTTGGAAAAAAGGAAAAGAAAATGAAAAGAAATTGACTCTCTCTTTAATATCATAACATGCTTTAATTTTTCATTCAAAGAAAGAGGTAAAATGTTATTTAAAACAATTTTGGCTTAATTGATTTCACTGGGTAAAACTCCATATTGTTGGTACCGTATTTCCTTAACAAAGTATGACTCTCTTAATATCATCTGGGAGCACATCAGCGAATCCACAACAAATCTGTCGTTCCACACTGATGCCTTAACAGTTAGAGTCACGTTCCTATACGGCCTGCTTTGCTTCAAGCAAAACTCCTCAACTTTCTTCCGAATGAACTTGAAATACGCAACTTCATCGTGGAAGTCTGCGTTTTGGCTTTGAATTTGGCGTTCTAGTTTTTCGACAGCAAATTTATATAAAATGTAGTCCAGAGTTGCCCATTTTTCAAACTTTTGTTTTGCACCTTTTTGGAGGTAAAATTTTTCTTTGAGCTTTGACTTTGTCTTATTGTCTAACTCCTCGAATTTATTTTTAGGTAGATAAAGAACGTCTTGTAGTTCCCAATGTAAAAGTCTTCTAAGTAAAACAATGGACTCCTCTAATCTTTCTACGACTAAAATTAAATCCATTTCTTTATCCAGCTTTTTTAGATACACGTTAATTCCAGTCAGGTTTTTTGAATGGAACAAATGAAGTGGGAAGCCTAACTCAAATGCCATTCTGTTATTCGTCAAAGAATTTTTCACCTCCGGTTCATATTTTCCTGGGTTTGTTAAGTACATAGATATTGGATCTGATGCATTAGTATTGAATATATATGGTGGGCGAAAATAATGCAGTGTTGATATGAAAACAGTAAAGGGTTCTCGAACAGATGCCAAATAGATTGTATCACGTGGCATTATGGCGCGAAAAGAATCGCGATTATATATCACATGACTACACAAAATGTCGAATGTTCTGTTTTTTGGAGGGGGCTCTATGTTGTAATTTGTGATAGACTCTGTAATACTGATGACGTTGGGGTACATGTTAGCATTACGGCCAAGGACAAAGGTCAAATTCCTCAGGTACCCGTATCTCAATAGAATATTTTGAATAGTTGAGCTTGCAGCCTTATGAACTTTGATATAGGCAATGTGGTGTCGAGGAGTGTTCGAATTGAGGGTGAAATGCGTTTCTTTAGGAATGCAGAATATGTTTGTTGTAAGAAGAAATACTAGGGTTAAGGGCAGTATCAGATACAGCAAGCGTCTATATTTCCAGTATCTGCAAAATATAAAAAAATATCATTGTGATGTTTTACTTGTCAGAAGATGTCAGAGCTAGAGCTCTACATGTATAATGTAGTAAATGTACATGTACGAGTTCTTAAAATGTTTTTTTTTTTAAATACATGTATACATTTTTTTTAGTAATAACTATACTTTAAATATTTTCATTCACTTACCTGATTCGAAAGTATGCCATTTCCTTCACAAACTATGACAAATGTCATCAGCTTGAAATTAGTTTCTTACTTAACTGATGATTATGCAAATCATTTAATGAAATTTTTCTTCCTGCATATCTCAATATTTAATCTGGAGAAATAATTTCCAACAAAAGTTTGTTTTGGAAAACAAACCGCAATTACCATGTCAAGGTACGCTCTCTATAAGGAATACACATAAAACGATAGGTAAAATGATGTACAGAGGAAGAATCAAAGTGTATGGATTAATGGAGTATCGGGTCCCTGTATTCATGATTATAACAATAGGGCTATTAAATTTGGAAACATATGGACAGCATCTCGTGGTCGATAGAAAGATGAGACCTTGAATAAGAGGATAAAGGCATGCTACATATACAGTATTCGGTCGAATTTTTTTTTTCTACATGAAGATAAAAAAAAATATTTTCAATTTTACGCCTTTATGCTTAACAAAACACGAGAGAGAGAGAGAGAGAGATGTGGATTTTATATTAGCGATCTATAACAAAATTCTTTGAATTGACATTTTAATTGTCGAAATCGGCATATGTAACATTAAGAGATTTAAATTTTGCAACCTTATTATTAAAAATCTTTATTCAGACTTCCGTCTTTTGTCATCTCATGTTATGTGGTGTTTTGTAAAAGTGCCGTTTTGTAGATCAAGAACAGATAATAAAATCTTTCAAAAATTATTTAAATAACAAATTAAATTATGTCTTTATATAAGTCAAATGCAATGAATACATGTTTACCTGCAAAGATTTTGTTTTTAATTCAGATTTTTTTTATACTCCATATTTTAAAAAAATATTATTGGCGTCATTAACAACCAATCAATTTTTTTCTATAATATACTCGTATACATTACACCAATCCATACATTCATATCCGGGGGAGGGGGGGGGGTCGTCTGTTCTTAAACGAATGTGTGCGACTTGGCTGCCTCTTCTTTAAAAAGCCGAGAAATTGGATAATTCAGACAGGGATTATCTTGTCCTTAAAAAAGGAAGAAAAAAAGAAAACTTCAACTTAAATTTATTAAGAACATTTATTTATCTATTTATTCATATAAATTAATACAAAACTTGTTCCTTCTGTAAAAAAACAAAGAAATATTTATTTATATTTATGGTCATTAAAAAAACTAGGGAAAAAATTCCAAAAACACAAAGAAAAGTCAGAATACATTTATTTAACAAAATACAAATGACAAAGACATTGTTGAACATTCACGAAGTATTAAGAGTAATCGATGTAAATTACCACGGTGTGTTCGTTCTCCTTCTTGACAAATATGTACTAGCTTCACTTAATTTAAGATTAGAAAATAAAGTAGTAAATACATAAAAATACAGAACTTTCAGAAATTTAAAATCATCACATTTTTCCAGTCAAAATATTTTCTCTACACTTTATGCGTAAACAACCATTCTTTGCATCAAATTAAAATCAAGGCTTCTTTGTGATATCAAAGACAAATGCCATTCCAATAAAAAAGGAAAGTGTGAAGTTTTCTTATCTTGTCGTTATTCAAAAAAACTTTGTTAAAATTCACTCTGATTTTACACAAAGCTACCCTAAAGCTGATATTAAGCTTCGGAGACCAACTCTTCTAACATGATAGAATTTCAATGGACACTAATTGTGCTCCTTTATTATATGACATGTTTTTAAATTCATATGCAGCAGAATGTTTTTAAAAAACTTCTACACGACGAGAAGAAAACATTTTCTGTTGCATTCGATTTGAAAGATACAATGACGATGTTTTATCAATAAAGAATTAGGCTCAGTTACTATGTCGACTCCATATTCTTGTAAAGTTGAAATAAAAGGCCACAGAATCTGTTACATCTGTTTTATATTTGGATGTTTGGATAACACCATTAGACGATAAGTGCTAACAACTTCATTATATGACAGACGAGATGAGTTTAACATGTCCATCAATTTTCCTTATATATGAAGTAATATTCCGCTATCGCCTTGCATGTACACGTAGTGCTTTTGTCTTCGAACTAAGTTGCATAGTCATGTTAATGCTCTAGAAACGGTCATTTTTTTTTAAACTAAGCTACTGACAGATAAGTTGACGTTATAGGATACCAACAAACTCAATTTAAGCCAGCCTTTTATAAATTCTATATGGTCGTTATATTGATTTGGTAAACAAATACATCCAGTGTGACATATGTTGACAAGGATATTTCGTCCTCCATGGCACCTGATCCCACCTTTGATGTTTTAGAGATCCGTGTCTGCTCGGCTCCCGATTAGTGTGTTTCTTCATATATATTTCTTATTCTATCATACGACTGTATTAAGGCTGCGTTGCTTCACACCAATTGTTAGGCCTTTGTTTTAAAATATATTTTCTTTTTACCTAATCAGCATAATTATTTAATTCACCCTCTCTAATACTAAAATTTCTTAATTATTTAGTATCTGAGAGGGGGGATTTTTTTGTATGAATAAGTTTTTATAGGCTATATCTTGAATTTTAAGTTGTACAATTCTTTGTGAATGTGTCATAGAAAAAAACTTTTTTTTTTAACCTGTCAAAGAACCCCTTGGGGTACGGAGCACGGGGGGGGGGGGGTGTTCCAAGCACATGTACATGTACCCAAAGGGCGTGGTTTATGCATAAACAGTATCTGAATAACATCCCTTTTTATAATCAAATATCTCAACCAAACAGTCTGAATTTATTATATAAACAACTCAAACTATATCGTACGCGCAAAATATTGGTCTCGCCAAGTTCCCATTGTTGATTGCAATCTTGTGACCTTTGGGATAAAAACTAAGACGGTCGCCGTACTGTAGTTTACTGAGATCTGTGTTAGTTGTCCACTGCATGCTGTGTTCCATTGCCTTGCCGTCATCCAGTACCCAGTGAGTGCCGTTCCAGCGACCTTGGATGTATGCTTTGTTTGCATTCGACTTATTGTCATCGTCAAATAAAGAACCTGGAATGAAATTATAATTTTTAACTTTTTATGAAAAGGATATTGGATGTTTGATGTTTTGTCTGAGTGATTGTACATTTGTAGTAAGAATCTCATTTAACCGTTGACCCAATTTAACATTAAAAATGACTTTTTTCTTGCATGATTTTGATAAAACTTATTATAGGTTGACTTTACTAAAGGATAAAGGTTAACATTAGCCTTCACCATCATCAACATTATCACTAAACATTACACATTAGCGTTTCCAGAAGGTCCTCCTCTACATCTGACCTAATGTTGATGAGCTCGGAGTTTAGTTGTGAACATTCTTTATGGCCGTCAAACACACTGTAAATACCAGTAAAGTAGACACAAACTTTTATCGACCTGGCATCGCTGAATCCACTTTGACATCTACCTATTTCAGAAATCAATATATTTTTTTAACTAAATGCACATATTCATCATGTTCATAATACTTTATATTATTCATGTTCATGCAATTATGATAACTTCATTCTGGGTTTAAGATTAAAAGACTTCATTGTAATAATTTCAAAATTTTGTCACGAATTTAAAGATATCATCAATTTGTAAAAATAAGAAAAAACATCATTATGTAACTACAAAAGTGAAATATTTCCAAATGTAAAGTAGGCACGGTAACATCTTTTATGATATTTTTTTTCTTCAATAAAATATATTTTAAAATTGTTTCATTTGATAAAATGAAGGAACCATATCGATCTTTAACATTCTTAAATTCATATTTATCTTTTTGACATGAGGATACAGAAGGTATTTTATATACTAGTATATAGTTATGATACAAAAAATCCCTTAATCGATGTCCTTCAATTTAAATATTTGATAAAAGTTTGGAATATTTCTAACCTCCAGTCCGAATAAAGTAATTCCATCCCGGCACGCTTACAGCTTTTAATGTGCTGTAATGTATTGTTCTGAACAAGACGCATTCGTTTGTGTTAGATGCATGTTGTAAGGAGAGACAGGCCTTTGTAATTTCACACTGAACTGCACAATCTTCTAAACTACCAGAGGAAGATTCCAAAGTTAGTTCATTATCAAACTTATAATTTGAAAGATTGTCAATTCTCACAAATTGCAGTTGTTGGTCGCAAAGAATAAGTGTAACCAGAAAGAGAATTATGTTTCCCACGACGTGCACAGAGATTCTAAAGTCCATGTCTGATTCTGACCGCTACATGCCCTGTAGATTATAAATGGGGTATACAATTTCTGTGAAACAATATATGGCGTTTAGATAAATATATTTTTTGAAATCTTACACACGACCTTACTAACTTAAAGTAAACAAATGCATGTTAGTTTTCCCAGAAAGGCAATTAGCTTTTAAGCATTAAAATGTTATAACACTTAAACCGAGTAAAATGGACACTGGAACATTGCACTCGGTAAAAACATGGTGTATTTCAAAGTGACCATAAAATCATTACAAGTTCATTAACCCACTTGTGTGTATTTAAACAATAAAATGCTTTCTTTGTTTGTTATAACTGGAATTAACGGAAGCAGCTGTTGCAGAAAAAATACATAACCTGCATAAGCAGGTTAGGTAATTTTTTTCTGCAATAGCTGCGACCGTTAATTCCATTAATAACAAACAAAGAAAGACATTTTATTGTTTATATTTATATTTGTTTAAATAATCATTTAAAGTAGGATTAAAAAGATTTATTATTGTATTAATAATGCGAACGTTTTTATACGTTTCATTGATGGAACAGCCACTGATCAAGAAATCTGTACAGGCGACATGCCAATTGTAGTTCATGCAGTGATTAACGCAATGGGTTTTCTTAAGAAATAAAGCAGAAAATATTCAGCGGATGTAAATATATTCCTGTAAAAGCAGAATTCATTTTTTTTTAATTTGGATAGTGAAAAGATAAGGAAAGATGACTTACTAATCGACATTGAGACATAAACCTACTGACAATGTTTTATCCATTGGCAAGAATTACTTCCGTTCTCATGTCGACTTGGTATGTCCCAGGAAACTGTAATAAAAGGCACCACAAGGTCTGCCACATCTGTACTAAAAGGTGGATATTTACCGACAAAAATTAAAGACGATATAAAGGACAAACTTACTGTAAATTGTATGGCAAATGAGATGAATGAAGCATGGTGATAATAAACAGTATTCAAACTCAAAACCGTCGATGAAACAATACAAAATACTGAAATAGGAGTAGAGCAAATACGGGCCTCTAAAACGTCAGAGGTGGGATCAGATGCCATGGAAGAGTGATCGTCCCCTGTTGACTGGTCACACCACCGTGCGTTCTCTGCCATGATCGGGAAAAAACGGAAAAATCCGTCGTCAATTTAGTGTTAATAATGGACTAACAATAAGTATGAAAAACGTCAGTCATCATTTGACTCAATGATAAATTGTATTTGCTGACAAGGTCATTGTATCGAGCATAGAACTTACGAAATGATTACTTTAAACGAGACTCCTGGTATTCTTGTTTCATCAACTTGTTTGTCAATAATTTACCTCGTTTTAGAAATTGTTAATACGTGGAGCATGCTCTTGTGTATCGAATCAACTGAGAGATATAAACTTAGTATATGCAGGTGATATAACTTTATCATCGTTGGATTTTAAATCCAAGTATAGTCGAGAGAGAGAGAGAGAGAGAGTTACGTTTTCACTTATATATTTATAAAAAAAAAAATTCCTCATTTGTACTTTTTAATCTCCATTCCTTTAATCTCCATTCCTTTAATTTAACCTTCAGATATTTTTTCATAAGTAAAAGGTATAGATAATATATAAAAAACAGTTACCGATCTAAAAAAAAAATCCATAAATAATACAATATCTACAATGATGTTTTTTAAACATGTGCATCTGTCTTTTTCGAATGGACATTTCAAATTAAGGTGGGTCACCTAGTACGATTACTCTGATGACTATTTAAGAATTGGACAATTTTACACTTTTTAAATGTGCACTTTTGAGTGGAATATTGAAAAATAAATAATATGATTAAGCTACTCATACTTGAATATATAATTCTAACAAGAGGCCCATGGGCCACATCGCTCACCTGAGCACTTTGGTCGGCCATTGTGGCCCCGCCCTACCCCCGGGGGTCATGATTTGAACAAACTTGAATCTACACTACCTGAGGATGCTTCCATATAAATATGATCAATAATGGCCTTGCTATTCTTGAGAAGAAGATTTATAAAGAATTTTCCTATATTTCTATGTTAAACTTTGGTCGGCCATTTTACCCCCGGGGGTCATGATTTGAACAAATTTGAATCTACACTACCTGAAGATGTTTCCCCATAAGTTTCCTATATATTTCAATGTAAAACTTTGGTCGGCCATTGTGGCCCTGCCCTACCCCCAGGGGTCATGATTTGAACAAACTTGAATCTACACTACCTGGGGATGCTTCCATATAAATATGATCAATTATGGCTAGGCTATTCTTGAGAAGAAGATTTTTAAAGAATTTTCCTATATTTCTATGTTAAACTTTGGTCGGCCATTGTGGCCCCGCCCTACCCCCGGGGGTCATGATTTGAACAAATTTGAATCTACACTACCTGAAGATGTTTCCCCATAAGTTTCATCTTTCCTGGCACAGTGGTTCTTGAGAAGAAGATTTTTAAAACATACCACCAAATTTTCATTAATTCCCAATTATCTCCCCTTGAATGAGGGCGTGGCCCTTCATTTGAACAAACTTGAATCCCCTTCACCAAAGGATGCTTTGTGGCAAGTTTGGTTGAAACTGGCCCAGGGGTTCTTGAGAAGAAGTCGAAAATGTGAAAAGTTTACAGACAGACGGACAGACGGACAGATAGACGGACGGACAGCTAGACGGACGCCGGACAAAATGTGATCAGAAAAGCTCACTTGAGCCTTCGGCTCAGGTGAGCTAAAAAGCGGATATTGATGAAACATGAAATCATGATCTTATACCCCAAGTGTTTTAAAAGCAGAGTAAACAAATCTTTTTTGTATTCTATTTCAAGATAAAAGCCTTTAATGAAAGTTCTCTCTAAAATGATTGAAAAAAAATATGTGGGTGTTATTTAATGTTAAAAAACGCTTAGAGGTTTTTGTTTTGTGGGCCTGTATTGTTCAGTACTTCCATATTTTTAACTTCCGGACCATTTAGTGTTAAGAGATAAGTCTAGCTCGTAATTGCACTTGCCTTCATCTTTTTTCAATGTTTTAAGTATAGATTTTTCTTTAATATAAAATTCATTTTTTTTGTAGAAAGTGTCAAAAATAAGGTACAAATCAGGAGCAGGGCAAATAAGAACCTCTAAAACACCGGAGTCGGATCAGGTGCGATAGAGGAGTTAACATGCTTTGTCGACCGGTTACAACCGCCGTGTGTTTCTTTTCATGATGACCCGCAGACAATCTTAATAATGCTTAATTTTTATTGGACTAACAATTAGTATAAGAAAAGTCATCATTCGACTAAATGAGAGTTAAATTGGCATACTACATTACAATCAAGCAATCTTGTTTTAAATTTCAGTGATGTTTATTTTCCTCTCAAGCTTCCTTACCAAATTACACGTCATTAATAGAGCCTTTCTGAGTAAAATCTTTTTTCTCTTCGTCAAATCAATTTTTTTTACCATTATAAATCCACAATAGTCAATAGATCTAAGTTAATTAACATAGGAAACGTACTTTTTAAATCACAATCACTACAAAACAATATACTATTAATTAAATATAAAATGTAAACTCCTGCTTCGATGTTTTCAAAATAAAGTCATACAATGTCATACGCACAAAATATTGGTCTTGAAAGTACACCACTGCAAAATCCAATCTTGTCACGTGATGGAAAATATCGCAGGTTATCGTTATACATCACGTGACTGAGATCTGTTCTCGGTATCCATTGTATAGTGTATTCTAGTGGTTTACCATCATCTAGAACCCAGTCTGACCCATTCCAGTGTCCTTGGATGTAAGGTTTATTCTGAGGTGACTTCGAACTGCTTTCAAACAAAGAAACTGAAAAAATAATTGACATATTTCTTTAAAATATACATACAACTGTACATACAATATGAAGCAATATGAAATTTTCATCATGATTGAAAAGATCTTTTGCAGAATAAGTCAATCACATAGAAGGGTCATACACGACGAATGTAACTATTTGGGTCAATTTTAAATGTTTTTTCCCCGCATCGAAAAAAATTTAGATTTTTAAAGATTATATATGAAAATCACTGCATAAAGACATACACTCGCATGCCATGTAAATTGCAAGTTTTATACTTCTTATACTGACTATGGTATACTTGTTCAACATATATAGTAAAAAGAGGCAAAAAAAGTATAAGTTATATTTACAGTACTTTCTTTCGTTTGTAAGGAATTTATTGTACAGAGAGGCGTGGCAGTCGAAGCGTCTCTGTATAATAAATTCCTTATAAACGAAAGAAAGTGTCTGTAAATGCCTTGTGTCATGGTCATTTGCATAGCCACTCCCTCGACATCAAACTGCACGCGACATTACGTCACGGGCCTAGGTCCATCGTAGACGGGTCAAACAAATCAGAAAGTACGAAGGAGATGGCTGCATTGGAAAGTCAAGCGATGTTAAAAGAGTGTGCAATTGTATTTGATGGATTAATTTAAGCAGTATGAATATTTCAAAAAACCATAAGGTACTGGAAACCTGGATCCGTCCGCAAAATGATCCGCTTCATTACTGTTACTACGGATATGGTTGCATGTCCGGAGGAAATCCGAATGGAGTACGGTAGCCACAGGTGTCAAAATTATGGAATGCATTGTAAAAAAGTCCGAATGCATACTTGTATATTATACGAACATGTATCAGTGTGCATGTAACTCAGTTAAGGAACCCAGGAAACAGGTACTTAAGAAAAATATCGAACTGCGCGTGTTTTCAATATTGTCAGATTTAAATTATCTTGTTTTTATTGAATATACGTTTTTTTCTTGAAATTCTGTGTATTGTTTTTATTTTTTGTTTAAAGCAGTTAACTGATGAGTTTACATGTATTTCTCTTGAAAATGGTTTTCACGTAATTCAGGGATGGAGTCGATTACATTAAAAAGTAATTAATCAAATTACAATTACTTTGACTTTCTCTTCAATTAAATTACAGCTAGGGTTTATAAATCATGTAATTGCTTTATAATTACTTTACAAAAACTGTAATTAATTAATTACAGTCAAGTATAGTTACTTTTTTGTTCAATTACCCCATCCCTGTCACGTATGCATTTATAGAGTGAAGGGGGGGGGGTTAGATTCTGTGAGATTTCTCATGTTTCCTCTAGAAATTGTGTATAAGCTTACATAAATTGACAAAAAATATTCAAAAACCATCGAATTCTGTCGGAAGTTATTGTACGGCTAAGCTCCGCCCCCTTGAAGTTATAGTACGTTGGAATTCAGCCAAAGGTTTTCTATCTGATTTAAAGTATGGCCAATATCAAAAGAAAAAGTACCGCACCATGACACAATAATCGTTATTTTGCCTGTAAAGTTAATTTTAAAACGAAAGAAGGAGTGCGTTAAAATTATATCATATATGAATGTAAAACCTAGTGGACTTCTCAAAAATCATCGAAATAAAAATTACAAATGAAATTACAACCTGCTACTTTCTTATTTTTCACTTGTCTAACATTATGTTATTTTATTTTTTTAAACAACTAGGTAGTAACAAATTGCCTGAGACGGACGATTTTGTATCGTTATAAGCGTTATATTCGTTATATCCGTTAAGTTTTTAAAAATCGTAAATTAAACAAAATTTTTCATTAAAGTCGATGGGAATGAAACCAACTTCTTTGTAACCTTACATTCATTATAAGCGTGTTCGCTATAAACGTGTTTCACTGTATTTCCTTTTAAAATTCATTTTCCTTAACAATGAAGAATATGAATAAATATACACTGTACATGTATTCAAAAATCGGTCTTACACATCAGTCTTTCCAGCAGGTCCCTTTCCTCGTCTGAGCGGATAGCTATAATACTGGATTTCCTACTGGAACACTCTTTACGCCCCTTTAATAAGTTGTGATAACCGACAAATCTAAAGCAAATATCCACAGTCCTGGCATCACTAAATCCTTCTCGACATCTACCTTTCAAAAAATAAAGGGCAATTTCAATTTGCTTTCTTAACACTTTCACGTAGGTTTGCAACTATGCTTCTATGGGAAAGAAAATTTGGACAGATGCCAGAAGGTCTTTACCATTGTAAAATCCTTACTTTTTACATCGAAGCTTTTTGTCTTATAATTTATATATTAGTACCATGATGACGGAAACCATACTTATATAAAAAAAAATTATATAAAAAAATAAGTTTTTTCTCGGTTTAGCGTCCACCCAAAAAACCTAGCTTTGTCAAAAAAATAAAACACATATTTCATAGTAATAAGAATTAATTCAAAAGATATGATTTCATACACATATAAAAGAACGTTATTTTCTTCAGTAAAATCAAGGTATTAAATACTGAAATTATTCCAATATTGAAATATTATACTCCAGTACAAATATATATAGATATTGCCGGAAATCACAAAATTTGACCTTAATAATTAATTTTTGGACTCCTGATTCTGTTTGTTTTTTCTGACATGGGTGTCAAAAACCAGGGCGCACGCGGACGCTAAACATAGAAAAAACTTGGAATGGCCTTATATGACAAACCCGGCAATGTATTTTGATGGCAGAGAGATCTAATCTAAATGGACTTATCTTCTATGATTTTCAGAAACCTCCTACCTCCAGTCCTAACAAAGTAATTCCATCCAGCCATTTAAACAGCTTTCAAGCTACTGAAATGTACAGTTTTAAACAGCACACATTCATTTGTGCTGGAAATACTTTGTAAGGAGAGACAAGTGCTTGTACTTTCACATTGCACAGCACACTCTTCTAGATCGCCGGGCAAGGATTCGAGCGTAATGTTAATCATATCAAACTGAAGATTCGAAAGGTTATTCTTCCTCACAAAAAGAAGTTGCTGGTTGCATATTCCCAGGGTCACTGCGAGGAGGCTTTGGACTGTGAACACAGAAATACGAAGCAGCATATTGAACTCTTGAGCAAACGTATTTTATTTTCACATTGACTGCACTATAATTTTGTGTTCCATAAGTAAACTGCATCTGGTTTTATACCATACTAAAATTATCTGTTCATCAATAATTGCAGGCAGGATCCTGCAGCTCAATTCTATATATTTTTTTTTAATATGTAGTTTTATTCGCACTTTCTATACAAAGTTCGGATTAATTGATGCCAGTCTGGGTTTTATTAACCAGGCTTTTCCTATAATTGTTGTTATTCCTTTAAAGAATTATTCAGCAATCCAGAATATTAAAAATTATTTATTACGGGTGTGCAACAAGGTTTTCATTTTTATCCTGGCATGGTGACCAAAATGGACCTACAAAATCCTGGTTCCCAACACTCCTCTAACAGTTTAGAAAGAAAGCCTTTTTTCAAGTTAACTGGTGGTGCCCTGAAAATGTTGTGTAAATAAATGTGCTTTTGTTTTTCTCCAAAATCCATACGCTGGGTTGTAATTGGGTGTCAATAAATGACTTTTTTTTCTACAGAAACATTATTACAAGACCTCCTCTGGCATTTAAGACAGGAGCCAAATCATCTAATGGAGGTTAGCTTTTATGGGTGATCACATTTTTTCATGTAAATACATGTATATAGGAAAATCTCTGCTAATGAAGAAGAGCCAGTTACTCAGGTGAGTATTGTGGCCCATGGGCCTCGCTTTATTTTATCCAGACTGATTTTCAATGTCATTGAGAAAAAAGAACAAAAAACTGAAATTTAAAAAAAAAAAAGATCAAAATGGTGAAAAGATATTCATATATACCTATCTTTAAAATTCTTTGTGGGGATATTGGATTTACAAAGACAATTAACTGCATAATGATGTCGGGAAGGAAACAAATGGCAGGAAAACACTATTAGTAAAAACTCATGAATTTTTCGAAACCCTGCGTACGGCAAAAAAAGCAGATTATCCAGAAAAAGGGTCAACACCATCACGGGGTCACACATCAAATTTTCCACCATTGTGAAACAGAGTCAGTAGCGGGTAAAACCCCCTCAGTTGGCCAGACAAACTCGGATTCGACATACTCCTAATGAGATTTGGAGAAGGTTATTCCATTCCTGTTGCAGTGAAGTGATGCAGCAAGTTCTTGGACACTGGCATTATGTTGAACATTGATGTTGGCGTGCCGGTGTCCAAACATCCAGGGCATGCATCCCAGGCATGCTCGATGAGGAGTGATCCGGGCTGAGTGCGCGCCATGTTAATAAATATGGTGATATTCTGTTGTTGGAGATAATCTTCATTCTGTAACAATCCTGGCCTTATGATATCTGGCATTGTCATCTTGAAAAATGAAACGCTGGCCATCATGGCATATATCGACACGCAAACGGCACAGCATGGGGCGCAAAGATGTTCCGATAGTACTACCCTGTGACATGTCCAGCAACGGTATGCAAGTCTGTTATGCTGGCAAGTCTTTTTCAACAGTCAATTTTAACAGTTCCTGAACCGACAGTCCGAGAAAGCATTCGAACTGTTGGACTTTATTATATATAGGGACTTTTTAGTAGAGGTACCGGGTATATAGGCATTGAAAATTGGAATTTACCTTTTTTTGTTGTTTAGCCCCCCCCCCCCCCCACTTTCGATTAGCCCCCCCTCCCTCCTTTCAGTTTGCTTCCGACTCCCATGTAGCAAGTCCACAGAGAACCTCGACTCATCTAAGGACATTACGTGGTTCAATCGGCGATTACTAGCATCCCAACATTGATGGTGAAGACACCATCAGAGTTGGGTCCTGATGTGACGATATATATCTCCCTAAACAGGGAATGACACGATGCAGTCGATACCTGATGGTATAGCCACTTACTACCAAGCCAGTATCCCTTTGATGTTAAGATCTAATTTGCTGTTAACAGACGATTGAATATGCAGGTGATGAGGTTATACATTGCTACATAACGGTAAGAGAAGGTGGCGATAGAAAAATTGAATTAAAATGTCACCACATTCAGAATTATACTCCAGTATCACAATTAAAATTTTGTTGCAAGGTCACCATGAACGTGTTTTTCGAGCAAAATATTCGAATAAGAAACAGATTGCTACACAGTAAAAGTATATAAAGAGGTCTACTTGTCAATCAGAAACTTTTTAGTATCAGCATACTATTATATAACATCTTGTCATTTTTATACCTTAAAAATGTGTCCTATATAATTCTATACCAAAAAAGTTTAACAATTCTAATGTTTTTGAGCGGGCATAGACAATCGTTGTTTGACCGCATAGTGAGATGTTGGATCTGTCGATGAGATGTTGGACCTCTTACGTCACAGAATGGGCGGAGTCAGCTATATCAGTGGAGTTCGACTGAACTGTTGTGCAGGTAAATGGAATTAAGTAAAAGGTACATTTGTATAACAACCAAACTGTTTGGCAGACCCAGAAAAAATTAAACTTACATGAAAAATAAGTGGTCTATGGGAGTGCATGTTCCAAATTCTTTAAGTACCAATTTTTTGACTCAAAAACTACATTACCCTTAACCTCATTTGACAATGCTGCAACCAAAAGTGGGGGCCATGCAAACGGCTTTCAATGAACATTTTCTTTAAAAAGAAATTTTGTCTGGAGAGAACCCCCCTCCCCGATACTACGTAGGGGTCTATATATGGCAAGTATATTTAAATAGATAAATATATAGAATACAATAGAAAACAAAGCTACTTAGCTATATGCTTATATGTACCCTAAATAAATGCCCTCCCTCCCCTCCCACCACCAAATTGTCTTCCTACGGGCCTGGCAAAAGTTGTAAAAAAAATCAAGAAGAGCATTTGGTGCAAATTTTATCGCTCATATCATGCACTTCTAAACTTCCAATAATTATGAAAACTAACATATTTTAAGTACGTTGCTAGTTCTTCGCGAATAAACTATGTTTGACTTACTTTTCATAAATGTTTGCGCGAATTTCCTCTAACTTCGCATTTATTGCGAAGGCTACATTTTCTCGAGGTAATTTAGCTGTCATGCACTTAAATTGATTTAATCTTGCAAAAATTAACTTCTGATAATGATTTCTATAAGTAAATTTATAATTCAGAGGTTAATTAGGCGTAAATTAACGTTGAAGGGACAGATAATCTCGGTTGAGTTTCGGCTTGGCTTTTTGGACTGCTACGCTGAGATTCGGCTTGGCTGGATATTAATTTGGACTGAAATCTTTACCAATGAAGGGGTTAGTCTGAGCTGAATACTAACCGAGAATTATAAGGGACATACTGATTTCTTCTGCGTATTCTACCGATATACACAACTCATCAACAGATCAATATTAGCAGATAGATAACTATTAACAGAATTTTTCATTAAGCATGATCAGCAATCCTCCCGTCTTTATATAGGCTAGAAAGGTGTATTTGTTACCATTTAGATATTACAACTTACTTAATAAGAGTTAAATCTGACACATTGAATAGATTTTTGTGTAAATATTTTCACTATGGGTTATATAATCTAGTAAAAAGACTTTGTTCTGAATTCTGAACTTTCCTTTTAAAGAATACAAATGATCAAGGTAAAACAGTAAAAATAAGTGAATTTAAAACTCGAATTAAATTTTAAACACAATACATTTAATTATTTACTGTTTGCTAACAGCTGGTTCAGTGGCATTATTGACTTCAACATCAAAGCAGTTTCATTCCAAACCAATCACTGTGTCCCAGCCAGACATGAAGATCAGGCTAGTCCCTGCGTTGGAGGATAATTATATGTACCTCCTGGTGGATGAAGAGACACGACAGTGTGCTGCAGTAGACCCGGTGGAACCAGAGAAGGTTGTTGTTTATTGGGGGGGGGGGGCACAGAGGGACCTTTGTTTGTCTGTCCACCTGTAATCTGCTGGATGACTATTGCATGCTACAAACAAGTGGTGGTAAATAACTGTTGAAAAAAGCACATTTTTATGCAAAGGAACATTTACGCAAAGATAAAATAGAGTATGCATTTACCATCTTTACTTGAAGATATTGTTCAAAATCCATTTAATTTACTTTTACAGATAATAGAAGCTGTTAAAGAAGAGAAGTGTACCCTAACAACAATTCTAACAACGCATCATCACTGGTAACTGCATAAACAAATCAGAGCACAAATTTTAAAACAATATCACTCCAATATGTATTAAATATATTGTAATTTTTTTAAGTAATGTGTAGCTTTGCAGTATTTGAAAATGGAAAAATGGAATTTTTTCAGGGATCATGCCAATGGAAATGATAAATTAGTGAAACTAGTTCCCGGACCAAAAGATCACCGTCTGTGGAGGTGATGAGAGAGTGCCGGCTCTAAATAAAAAAGTGGGGCACGGAGACCAGTTTAAGGTAAAGTTCTTAATTGTTCATGCACATGAAAGAAAATGACTACTATCTATGGGGTGCCATTTTGGTATTTACAGCCAAAAAGTGATATCACCTACTCAAATTATTTATGAAATAACAACAGCTCCCAAGACTATAGGTCCGTAAATCTTATTTACTTTCACTTTCGTTTTATAACTCATCATTCTAGGAGACAATAGATTACATTTAATCAACCCCAATAGAAATTTTAGTTTGTTTTGCTCACAAATTAATTTATTTCACTTATCTATCATGTAAACTTTAAGAAAAATTGGAAAAACGCATGAAAACTGGGTAGTCCGAATTTTCTTGATTCCAGTGGTAATCTGTATATTATAGGGAGCATTCATTATTTAATGTTATAAGAAATTTAAATAGGTGATATCACCAACTCAAATTGATTAGGTGATATCACCTATTCAAATAGGTGATATATCACTTATTCGAATAGGTGATATCACCTTTTCAGCATGAATAGGTGATATCACTTATTCGAATAGTGATATCACCTATTCATTTCCAATAGGTGACATCACCAATTCGAATAGGTGATATCACATTTTGCCAGTAAATACCATAACGGCACCTCATACTTCTATCTATAAAAACTTTGTAAACAAAATCATGATTTGTAGATGTTTATCTTATACATAGGGCCCTTTAATTACTCAATCATACCCATTATCTTAAAGAATGTAACTTAAAGGTAATGTAGAAAGACAAAAAATCGGTCATGAAATGTATTAGAGATGACTAATTTTAAATACTATTCATTTTAAGGACCATCAGAGTAATTGTACATGTAAGATAATATTTTTCTCTAGGTAGGAAATCTGGATGTGAAGTGTTTGTTTACTCCCTGTCACACAACAGGTCATATCTGTTACTTTGTTACCAGCCCCACAGGAGAGCAGCCAGTAGTGTTTACAGGTAAGATTCACAAAAAAAATGTTTACAGATATAAAGTTCACAGAGGGACATCAGTGTTTACAGGTAAGGTTCACAGAAACATCAATGTTTACAAGTAAGGTTCACAGAAAAATTGATGTTTACAAGTAAGGTTCACAGAGACATCAATGTTTATAAGGTTCACAGAGATATCAATGTTTACAGGTAAGGTTCACAGAGATATCAATATTTACAGGTAAGGTTCACAGAGACATTAATGTTTACAGGTAAGGTTTACAGAGATATCAATGTTTCTAGGTAAGGTATGCAAAAACATCAATGCTACAGACACCTTATTTTAATGTACAGTTTTTTGTTTCAGAGGTCACCTTTGTTTTAGTATACATGAATATAAATATATCTTTTATCTTTTACTTGTTTTAGAAGAAACCTTGTTGTAGTTTGTATTTTCTGTGTTTAAGGGGACACCTTATTTGTGGGAGGTTGTGGAAAGTTTTTTGAGGGAACGGCAGACATGATGTATTCAGCCCTGGTCACAATTTTATCCAAGCTGCCTGGAAATACAGTTTAGTATTAAATTGTAAACGTATATGTATGAACATAAAGTTATTAGAATGTTATTTCACTATTTTAATATGAAGTTCATATGAGATTGAAAATGAAATATTAAACTCAACATTTACATATAATACATGTACATACATTTATTTTTCACATTGTCCAGAATTACTTTTGTCATAAGTGTATAGTGGGGCTTTAAAGGGAACGCTTCTCAGTTCATGGTGGCATTTTATCATTTGATGAAAACTGAACTTTTTCTATGAGCATAGATATAAATATTGGTAATGAGTAATTGAAAGGTATTTTGGAATATGATAAACTTGTTAATTAACACCAAAATTTTCAAACCGTCTTACAACTTGTCATATTTTTTTTGCTCTCAATATAGCGTGTGTTTTGTGGACATGAGTACACAGTGAACAATCTAAAATATGCCCTCCATGTGGAACCAGAGAATCAAACTATAAAGGAGAAATTTGCCTGGGCCAAGGTAAATGTTACTATGACACACATCTGTATTCCTCATGTGTTGCCTTATATTTTTCATTGTTAAGTTTGTTCTACGAATCAATTAATTATTTCTTTAATGTACCATTTGATACAAAATTTCAATGAATGAAAGTTGATCATATAAATTGAAAATACATCCAACTTATGCCAACATACCATTTGCTAAAACGATGCATATGTTTGACTTTTCTTTATTACAGGTATCAGGGCACTACCCTCACATCAACACAAGGGATTCTATATATGTAGTATATGTGTCTGACTTTTATGACTAAATTTTACAAGTTATGTCTTTGCAGGACCAGAGAGCTAAGAATTGTCCAACAATCCCATCAACAATTGAAGAAGAACTCAAATTCAACCCATTTATGAGAGTTGAGTAAGTAGGAAACTTGTTACACATTTAATTATATGACTGTGTTATTTGCAGCTTAAAGGTGCATTGTCCCCTCTGATGTGGGCGATAACTCATTGACAAGTTAAAAAGGTGATTTTTGTGGAAATCTGCAATCCAAAGTATGCTGATATTGTATGCATTTCAGTTGTAATCAAGGTTTTTTTTTATAAATTAATTGCTGAGGAAAGAAATTCAACCTAATATTTAGAATTAAATCGATTTCTCCTGCAAAAATCTTTGATAGTTCAGCAAATTCTGGATGTAGAAAAATGCTCTTGAACAAATTCAAAAAATACCTTTTGTAATATTTTATATTTATGCAAATTGTCATATTTCTTTAAAGTAAAAATTTGATAAATATAATGTGATTGTAAATTTTATTGCAGGATAAATAAAACTGATACACTTAATTCACGTAAATGGAATCAATACTATTGCTCATTTTTCAGAGATGCTCATGTGCAGAAACACTGTGGGAAGAGTGACCCTGTATCGACCATGGGATTCTTACGAGATGAGAAGAACAACTTCCGAGGCTAGATAAAAACCTTTTTATGTTTGAGGAGATGATAAGAAATTAGAATGCAGAATTAGGTATAGAGACTCTTTTGGGATGATTGAAGATGAAGAATCCAGGAAGGGAAACATGATGCAATATATTCAGGATTTAATGAAGAAATTGACTTTAATTTCTCCACATGCATAAATATACATTTGCTCAAATTATTTCAAAAGGGGAAAAAATAAAATATGTGATCTTTGTTACATTAATACATGTAAGAAGAGTGCAAGATGACTTCACTATTAACAAATGTTTGTTAGCAGATCGAGTTTGGGTCACTTATCTTTATCATATATGCATATATATCAACTGTGTTTACTTCTTACAATATCAGTGCTTGACTGTTAATCACCACTTAAATAATTGAAAAATAAAGAGGTGCATGGAGAGAATTAACAAACAAATCTTGCTATACAGTTAAGAAATCTTTATTGCAAAATAAATTAATAACAAAGATTTACTACTGGTAAATTTAATACATATAACAGATTAGATATATTCAATGTGTACATGAATGTGGACATACAGTCATGTAAATAAAATGTAACTTATTGTAAAGCTTAAATACATAATTATGCTACACTTCTGGTTTGGTAATAATATTTTTAGTTATCATTTCTGATCAAATTTTTTATTCCATTGGAAATTAGTAAATAAGTGAATGAATAGTTACATCTTAAGGCCATGCAAAGTTAATTCCTTGGTGCTCAGGCCTTTCATTTTCCAAGAAATATGATGAGAGAGGCATCTTTTAAAAAAACTTTTTCATTGCCTCCATAACATGATGAGGCAGCTTTTTACATTGTACAAAACCTCAATAAATAATAATAATAATAATAATCACCTCAATTAGATTTTTTGTTTTTATTTCACTAATAGCAATAAGAAGGGTCAATGAGACACCCTTGGAAGAGATGAGGGAGGGCCTGAGAACCAAGAAATTAGTTTTTTTATGGCCCTATAGAAATATTTTATTACATAAGCACCAAGTAATATAGCTCATTGACACCTTTTCAGAAAAGTGAGACAAAGTTTAGTGATACAGTTTCTTAAAAGATATTGTGATTTTTACACAAATTTTTACACAAACAAAAAGACTGTAAATAATTTTAAGAAGAAGCCAAAACAGGTAAATTTAAAATAAAATTAAAAATTACAGTAAAATGTATATCCCTTTTGCTTTTATTGGTAAACTTTCATTAATTAAAGGCTTAAAATATATGCATGCACCTTGATGCATGTGGGCAAATTTACAATATGGGGTGAGAAGATATTCTTTTTTAAATCATCTGTGCTAGCCTGAGTAAACTTACAAAGGGAGCAAAACCTCACATATATGCAAGTGTGATGGGGAAAAAGTGAGCAAAAATACCCAAACTCTGTATAATACTTATACATGTACTACAGTAAATAAAACTTTAAACAACCTATCACAGACAACTATTATGAATTTTGTAGTTTATTTTAAAAAAATATGTTGATAACAAGGTGAAGTGTGAAAGAAAATGCCATAGTTTAAATAATTAAAAATTTTCTACATGAATTTAAAGCACTAATATTTAATTGTAGAGTTTTAAGTTGACAGATCTCTCTGATCATTCAAGGTTTACAATATCATACATGTATGGCACATTTTAAAATGCTAGTATAATATCTACGTTTCTGACCGTTTTCTCCCTGACAACTCTTTGAAAATTCAGTGCTAATATCTATTTCACAACTGGATATGGATTTCATCAATCTAAAGATTTAATGTCTACTGTGCACATCAATATCCCGGACGATCGTGTTAGTATTACAGCTGGGACTATAGAAATATAAATATAGAATACCTTGTGTATTTCAATCCCATTCAACAGCACTTTTATTGCTATTCTTTACATTTTTTATAGCACACATATTATAAATGTAAACACTGTAATGTACTTTTTCAACACAGTAATAATTCTATGGAATCACTGTTTAATGCAAGGTTAGAAAATTATGGCTTCAAGGTACATAGAGTAAATTATATTTCCAAAGAAAAATTGTGACTATGTACATAGTGTTAATTTATCCAATATATGATAGGGAAAAAAGTACATCATCCCTGTGTCATTTGCTGGGTACATCCAGGAACTTGTTTTAAATGCTAGCATATTGCCCAACAAACTACACACTGATCTCTAATCTTCACAATACATGTATATGTATTATTTACACTACTAACAAGTAACTAAAGGAGAACTCAGCATCCCTGGGACATGAAAATCTACAGATAAATAGCTAATATTTAAAATTTAAGATAAGAAATGCATCAGTTTTCTATCATGTGTTATGTGACAGTGGACATAATGGAATCCCAATAATTAGAACTATAATAGTGGTGAAGAGATAAATGTATGGCATCAGAAATCATCACAGACTACCACTTTTAATATTAATAAACCTCTTTTTACAATAGGCTTAGAGACAGACACTTTAATTAAATTGAAATTTTTACCCTAATATCTAAATGAAACTTGAAATGTTATTTATTATGCATACTTCACCAAAACTATAATTAAGCACATTTTATAGCTTTCCGGGTCCCGATCTTTCTACTCTTTTGAGGTTTAAATGAGACAACACATTAAGGAGTAAATGAAATAGTTCAAAGCCAAAGATTATGTGAGAAGTTGTGCAGATATATAAACAAGATTTAAATGGTAAAGCTATATATATGGCTTACAAAACATGCAAATTTGAATAGAGGTATAAACATGTACATGTAATTCAGTATCCCTAAAATCAGATCCTTTGTATGATTAAAAAAATGGCAAAAAATGAGCTTTGAATAAGACAAGTGATTATCACAAAATATTTCATAAACAAATAGTGCCATAAACAAGATACAAGTATTACCAAACACCTGGTATAGAATTGAAATATTCCTTCTAACATGAAGTAACATTTTTTCAGTTAAAATCTGACCCTGAAAGACAGAATAAATCCCCACTCCTGGATTAGGAGGCGTCAGCGTCATTATTTATACTTCCTGCGTCCTCTGTTCCATTGTGTTTATCATTGCCGGCTTCCTCTTTCTTCGTGAGCTGTTGATGCCACATGTCCGCATAGAAACCATTCACTTGTAGAAGTTGGTCATGACTGGAAAGAGAAATGTTTGATAAAGGCAAGGTTTATAGGAGTGTACAGCACTAATAGGTTAAAACTTGTTTTACATGCTATTTTTTTCACCAGAATACAACAATTTGTACATATAGTGAAGTGTAACATATCCCTGATTTAATCAACCTGCTGAAAATCACAGTTTCTTTTTTTAAAACAAAAATCTGTCATAGCAAAAGTTAGAAAGTTTGAAAATAACCATTTATGCATTAAATTGATCCCTTTTTCTAAACACTTAATTATGTTCCCCTTTTGACAACAATCCTTTCTTTAATTCATGTTCTATAATCTGTGAGCTTGTGCATGATAACATGATAATCCTTCCTCTTTCTACATATACTTATGTTCCTTTCTCTACAATGACGCCCTCTTTCATCACCAGTATCTGATGAGCGTGTATGCTTATACTTACGTTCCCCTTTCTACAATGACGCCCTCTTTCATCACCAGTATCTGATGAGCGTGTATGATGGTAGAGAGTCGGTGGGCCACTATGATGGTAGTTCTGTTCTCACACACTCTCTCTAGAGAGGTCTGTATGTTACGTTCAGTCTTAGTGTCCAACGCGGAGGTTGCCTACAAAACCAAATAAAAACAAAGATCGCACAGAAACATTAACAAATTTTCTTTTCCATTAGTAGCCATGATGGTGGCTTCAATTTGTGAAAACAAAATTTCCTATGTCAGCTTAAGGTTCACATGCTGGTTTGTTTGGTAAAATCCACCTGTGACATCATTCTTTTGTTTGAGTGCTCCATTACTTTTAAGGAGTGGAGAGTTGCAAATTTCATTGAAAACGGAATTTCTTATGGTCTTATTCTCCTTTACATGCCTCTACCAAGGAAAGAACTTTAAGAACATTTTAGAGAAAAGTTTTAGAAAATGTTAGAGTTGATTTTCACATTATGAAAATTTTATTGCTCATGGTAAGAAACGAACCCGGTACTCTCTGCATTGTAGTCGGGTACTCATTTCACTGAGCTATCGAAACTGTTCAGAAACATTGGATTAGAATAACTTTAGTACACTTTTTTTTGCCTTACTTTCTATAGTATACAAAAAATAAATACTATTAATATATAAGGTCTATTTACAGAGTATCATATAAATATTCTTTTTTTAATAATAAAAAACAATTATAATAAAAGCATAAACAAGAGGCCCATGGGCCACATCGCTCACCTAAGCACTGTGGCTAGGCAAAGTATAAATTGGTTTATTATTGAAAAGGTAAAATCCAAAAGTAATCCCATGAACAATCATGGATTTTCTATCTTAGAAAAGAAGATTTTAAAAGAATTTTCCTATATATTTCTATGTAAAACTTTGGTCGGCCATTTTGGCCCCGCCCTACCCCCGGGGGTCATGATTTGAACAAACTTGAATCTACACTACCTGAGGATGCTTCCATATAAATATGATGAATTATGGCTTGGTCATTCTTGAGAAGAAGATTTTTAAAGAATTTTCCTATATATTTCTATGTAAAACTTTGGATGGCCATTTTGGCCCCGCCCTACCCCCGGGGGTCATGATTTGAACAAACTTGAATCTACACTACCTGAGGATGCTTCCATATAAATATGATGAATTATGGCTTGGTCATTCTTGAGAAGAAGATTTTTAAAGAATTTTCCTACATATTTCTATGTAAAACTTTGGATGGCCATTTTGGCCCCGCCCTACCCCCGGGGGTCATGATTTGAACAAACTTGAATCTACACTACCTGAGGATGCTTCCATATAAATATGATGAATTATGGCTTGGTCATTCTTGAGAAGAAGATTTTTAAAGAATTTTCCTATATATTTCTATGTAAAACTTTGGATGGCCATTTTGGCCCCGCCCTACCCCCGGGGGTCATGATTTGAACAAACTTGAATCTACACTACCTGAGGATGCTTCCATATAAATATGATGAATTATGGCTTGGTCATTCTTGAGAAGAAGATTTTTAAAGAATTTTCCTACATATTTCTATGTAAAACTTTGGATGGCCATTTTGGCCCCGCCCTACCCCCGGGGGTCATGATTTGAACAAACTTGAATCTACACTACCTGAGGATGCTTCCATATAAATATGATGAATTATGGCTTGGTCATTCTTGAGAAGATTTTTAAAGAATTTTCCTACATATTTCTATGTAAAACTTTGGTCGGCCATCTTGGCCCCGCCCTACCCCCGGGGGTCATGATTTGAACAAACTTGAATCTACACTACCCGAGGATGCTTCCATATAAATATGATGAATTATGGCTTGGTCATTCTTAAGAAGAAGATTTTTAAAGAATTTTCCTATATATTTCTATGTAAAACTTTGGATGGCCATTTTGGCCCCGCCCTACCCCCGGGGGTCATGATTTGAACAAACTTGAATCTACACTACCTGAGGATGATTCCCCATAATTTTCATCTTTCCTGGCACAGTGGTTCTTGAGAAGAAGATTTTTAAAACATGCCACCAAATTTTCATTAATTGCCAATTATCTCCCCTTGAATGAGGGCGTGGTCCTTCATTTGAACAAACTTGAATCCCCTTCACCCAAGGATGCTTTGTGGCAAGTTTGGTTGAAATTGCCCAGCGGTTCTTGAGAAGAAGTTGAAAATGTGAAAAGTTTACAGAAAGACAGACGGACAGCTAGACGGACAGACGGACGCCGGACAAAATGTGATCAGAAAAGCTCACTTGAGCCTTCGGCTCAGGGGAGCTAAAAAGGCAGATTTTACGCTGGTTAATATACTCGTAGCGCTACATTCCGTAAAAGTAATGGGCCTCGGCCCATTCGGTGCATTGGCTCCATTACTTTTAAGGAATGGAGCACTACTTGTACATTAACCCTTACGTAATTTTTGTGTTATACAATGTAAAGATAGGTCTCCAATATTTCTTCACCAACAAAAGAGTCCATTTAGGAAAATCAGACAAAAATAATACTGACCTCATCTAACAGTACAATCTGAGGGTTCTTCAGTATAGTCCTGGCTATGGCCACCCTCTGTTTCTCTCCCCCACTCAGTTTCAGTCCTCGTTCCCCCACCACTGTGTTGTAGCCTGTAGAAAAGGTGAAGAATAATATAGGCAGCCTCACAATTTATATCACTTTGGCTTAAAAATCTTATTAAATTCTGTTTGAAATGAAACTGACTAAGAGAGCATAATACATGTACATTCCACAGGGGCCTGTAACATACTGTATTTGATTTTACGTACCGATAATCACTATATGTATACAAAAGTCCTTTTTAGCTCACCTGAGCTGAAGGCTCAAGTGAGCTTTTCTGATCACATTTTGTCCGGCGTCCGTCTGTCTGTCCGTCTGTCTGTAAACTTTTCACATTTTCAATTTCTTCTCAAGAACCGCTGGGCCAATTTCAACCAAACTTGCCACAAAGCATCCTTGGGTGAAGGGGATTCAAGTTTGTTCAAATGAAGGGCGACGCCTTCATTCAAGGGGAGATAATTAGTGAAAATTTGGTGGTATGTTTTAAAAATCTTCTTCTCAAGAACCACTGTGCCAGGAAAGATGAAACTTATGGAGAAACATCCTCAGGTAGTGTAGATTTAAGTTTGAACAAATCATGTCCCCCGGGGGAAGGGCGGGGCCACAATGGCCGACCAAAGTTTTATATAGAAATTTATAGGAAAATTCTTTAAAAATCTTCTTCTCAAGAACAACAAACCCATAATTGCTCAAATTACTACAGAAGCATCCCCAGGTAGTGTAGATTCAAGTTTGTTCAAATCATGACCCCCGGGGGTAGGGCGGGGCCACAATGGCCGACCAAAGTTTTATATAGAAATTTATAGGAAAATTCTTTAAAAATCTTCTTCTCAAGAACAACAAACCCATAATTGCTCATATTTATATAGAAGCATCCCCAGGTAGTGTAGATTCAAATTTGTTCAAATCATGTCCCCAGGGGGTTGGGCGTGGCCACAATGGCCGACCAAACTTTTATATAGAAATATATAGGAAAATTCTTTAAAAATCTTCTTCTCAAGAACAACAAACCCATAATTGCTCATATTTATATGGATGCATCCTCAGGTAGTATATATTCAAGTTTGTTCAAATCATGACCCCAGGGGGTATGGCGGGGCAAACTTTTGGATTTAAACTTTTCAATAGTAAACCAATTTCTACTTTTTCCTAGCCACAATGCTCGGGTGAGCGATGTGGCCCATGGGCCTCTTGTTTGTATATATATATATATATAGTGATTACGTTAAATCAAATACAGTATGTTACTGGCCCCTGTGGTACATTCTTGGTAATTTTGGCAGGGAGCTGAGGTAGGTGTTAAAGACTTGCATATTCATCAAGATGTTTCAGGTAATGTATAATGGCTATTATGCATGTATTTATCATAATTTAACTTATTTTTCATGTATTTTAAATGCTGAAAAACTAAGTTTGAAACCAATAATATACACATCACTAATCAAAATGAGAGGGTAGGATAATGTTAATTTAAACTGAAACATACGGAGCATTAATGTACATATATATATACATTAAGAAATAAAGGTTTAGTGATATAGGACGTACATAAGAAATATTTATTGCTGCAGAGCACTTGCTATGAGGAAACCCATAAGCCCCCCTATTGTCTTATAAGAATATCCCAAAAGTGTATTCAGCATATTGGTGAATTACTTCAATACACCGATACATTGTCAGGTTGTTCTTGCAATAATCTTAATGTCTGGAATCAATTCTCACCATCAGGAAAAGACAGAATTCTCTCGTGTATATCCGCGTTATCTGCCGCTTCCTCCACCTGCTTGACATCCGCATCCACATTTCCATATCGGATGTTATAGCGGATATCAGCGTTAAACAACACAGTATCCTGGGGCACAACACCAATTTGCTGTCGGAGAGATTCTTGCTTGACCTTCAATATCAAAATACACATGTTTAAACTTCTACTGAAATCTTGTCAAATTTCTATAGAAGTCTTGGTCCTAATGAGAGAAAGTAAAGTTTGATTGTTTTAAATTTAATTGTGTTTAAAACTGTTCTAATGTGAAGCAGAAAATAAATCAACAAATTAAACAAACAACAGAATAATTTGACATTTCAGTTAAAACATACCAATGAAATGTCCTGTCCATCTATAAGAATCCTCCCTGACACAACATCATAGAACCGGAACAGGAGCCTGATAATGGTGCTCTTCCCACTACCCGAGTGACCCACCTACAGAGAGAAAGTGAAAGTGAAAGTAGAACCCATATCACTTTACTGAGTGACCACCTACAAGAAAAATCCAAAGTACAGTGAAACTTGTCTTATCTGGCACCACTGGTTCTAGACAAAAAGGGATGGATAAGACAGGGAAACTGACAGTAAAGTAAAACATGACTTGACTAATATGGACACCAGTTGTTCCAAAGATATTGGCTAGATAACGTACACTACAACTTGGATTAGACATTTTGAATAATTTAATTTACTCAGGGGGACTAAAATTTTTTCATGGTTAAAGATAAAATTTTAAAGTAGACAACATTTCAAACGGTTGAATTTATTTTACTCAAAGGGACTTAGAGGTATAGTCATAATAGACAAAATTTCAGATTACATGCCATACGGATTAGACAGGTTATACTGTATTTGAGAAAGTAATTTTTATAAATCCAGTTATAATAAATATTAATGAGAGTACCAATATGTATCTACAGAGATCTTATTTCATGAATTTACAAAGAATATCTCTGAGATATACCTTGTAACAGGTTTGGCTGAAAACAATTCATTTGTTCTGGACTGGAAGTTATTTTGAGCAATTAATGACAAGAAAATGGCTATACTGTAGAAGCACAAATTTTCCTGGGGTTAAAATTTCGTTGATATGTCATCACAAATAATTTCATGGGCATTTAATTTTGTAGTTTTGAAACTAACCCTATTAATCAATATGTAGTCATATAAAATTTCATGTGGGATTTAGTTTCGCAGATAATTGTTAGCAACGAAATTTTATCCCCTACGAACATTTGTGCTTTTACAGTATATAACTCATGAAGAAGCCAAATGTACATACCAGTGCAAAAGTCTGTCCGGCTGGAACCACAAAGGAAACATCCTTAAGAATCTTTTTACTGGCAAAAGAAAAAAAATAAAAGGCTTTTATGGCATCGAACATGAAAAACAATTTCTAAAGATCTTTTTGAAATTGATATATTAATAGGTCAACTCAGTGACTCAGAAACTAATAAAGATTGTAGTTTTTAACAAAATGTCACAATTACAGCCTGGGGTCTTACACCATGGACCGAATAAAGCAGGGTTCAAATTGACCAGACACAGTCAAACAATCACTCTTTTTCAGTCTGTTGAAGAACTATCATGAAGGATTAATTATACTTAATCTATTGTGTAATGATATCGAAAACATAGCTGCCCAATAATAGTTTAGTGTAATATATTTACCTTTCTTCATAATGGAAGTTGACATTTCTGAATTCTATTTTACCATTGGTAACAGCAATATTCTTAGCATCAGGGATATCTCTAATCTGCATTATGAAGAAAATAAATTTAATATCATCAAATCTGATATTGCATCTCTGCAAGCCAAGCGTCTGACTATTATACTGTGACAGTGTCAACATGTTGAATAATTCACTTAGTTGTCAGAGCCGATAAATCTAAGGAAGAAGTGTCAAGAGCAGCAAAGATTTTGGTGAACCATCAAGGGCAAGGGAGGTATCTGCATATTGGGAGATTCTGATTTCTTTTTCAATTACTAGTATACCTGTTATAATTCTGTATTGTTTGATAAGAATAGCCAGGATTAATAGCAAATAAGAGAAATAACTAGGGAGCAACAGGATCTCCTCGTCTACTACCTCTCTGAATAAGAAATTGTTCTGATAAAAAAAACCACATTGTAAAACTGAAACTGAAGCTGAAAAAAGTTTTTAAATTACCTCTTGACTTTCATCCAACAGTTCAAACATGTTCTCCATATCAATGAAAGACTGCTGTATCATTCTGAAATACAGACATAAAATATACATCAGGTTCTGAATGTCAGCATAATGGAAAAATATTTCTATGGCACGCCAAATTCACAAAAATGAGCTAATCATAGTTTCACAATTGATAAACTAGGTTTATCGGTTGTAAACTATAGTTTACGGACTGTAAACTATAGTTAACAATGTTAATCTATATTTCACATCTGTAAACCATAGCTAACGTGATAATATATGTTTCACAACCGTAAACTATACTTAACACCGAAAACAATCATTTGCGATTGCAAAACATAGATTATCTGATAAATACAGTTTCACGATTTGTAAACTATCGTTTACAACTCTTAACTATAGTTAACGATCTTAAACTATAGTTTACAGACGTGAATCTATGTTTATCAACAAAATCTATTGTTAATGTTTTATTACAGACAGATAAACTTAGATTAGCATTCGTAAACTATAGGTAACAACCGTTAAATATAGTTTTACAGATGAAGTTTACAGTCAATAAACCTAGTTTATCAATTGTGAAACTAGGTTTAGCTCATTTTTGTGAATTTGGCATGCCATATATTTCAAATATCAAAGTGTTTTCACAGTGTATCATGTGAGTTATTTAAATGTCATCTAGGGGGTGTTGCTAAAAGGTGGAATGGAAAGCTGAACGAATGGAAAATTATTATTATTGTTAAAGTATATCATTGAAGAAGTTAGCAAGATACCAGTTCACCGCGTCTAGGACTATTACTATTACTGCGCCTCGGGAAATAGTTCTGGCATTGGGGAACTGGAATCTTGATAATTTTTAACTCCCTTAATGATATACTTTTTAACTGTTTTATTATACTGATACAATGGTAGAAAAAATGAGATAATTACAGATAATTGAGAATTAGCTTTCGGAGTGGGGATTAGCTCACTTGACTAATACACGGATTAGTCCATTAACATACAATACAGACATAAAAGAAAAATCTAAAGGATTATGGATGAATGGGAATTAAAATACACATAATCTATCATAAAGGATACATACATATCTTATACAATCACATATTCAATTGCCCACTATTAAATACCCCAGTACAAGTTGACGTAGGCATGTTCAGTTTTTTACTCTCAAAAATTGCTGTCAGTGACGAAGTTCTAATTGAATTTGAAAGGGGGGATTTAAACTTACCTGAAAAACATTTGACGGATGAGAAAGAAAAGACAATTGCTTATTCGCAAGGTGGATAAGTTTCAACTCCAACACCTTTCAGTACTATTTTTTACTCTAACTTACTATTATATTACATTCACTAAGAATGGGGGGGGGGGTGGTTCAATGAACATTTCTATAGTATATGTCACAGGGTGAATAAATTATTATTATAATAAATACTATATAATTTATTCATTAATAATTTGTGACATAATATATTAATAATTTCATTACCATCATCCTCATTTTCATCTATTATACAGCATAGTGAATTACAGTACTCTGGAATTTACTATGTGTTCAGTCATTCATAAAGTCATTCATTGATATTCATGGGGTTGAATGCTCATTGGTTAGTTTGAGAGTGTGAAAGGTCAAAGGTGTCTGTGTCAGAATGGGTGAGGTTTGAAGGTGTATGATTGGTTGATATTTCAGTGTGAGAAGTGCGTGAGTGGTTTTACTAGTTTGGTACCCAATACGCATGCTTGGCGCCAAACACCCTTAATAACTCACTCCACCCTAAGACAACCAGGAGAAAGGAAGAGTTTATCTCCTCTCCAGATTCATAGTCATTTCATTTAATAATGATGACAAATTAAACCTGTCTATTCGGTAAGAATTAATTTACCACCGTTGCTCTGAATATATTAAATATCTTATCAATTAATTATCTAATTCAAGATTATTGAATCGGAACAGTTAAAGTATTCTAAAATAATTAAATGTGTGAGTGTTAGAGTATGAGTGTATTCATTTATTTTACAGGTCACCTTGTTAATTGTGATTATTATATCATCAAGAAAGTAATTGAAATATAGATAAAGAAAAGAACCCACAACAGCTGTTTTGTTATTTATGGAGTAACATTTACAAATATAGTGCGACTGTGACATATAGTTAAACTTTATGTCTAGAAAGAAGTTGGGGGGGGGGGCAATTAATCAAATATATTTGATATCTTAGATGAACTATGGTAAGAGAAATTAGATGTAAAAAAAATCCCTACTGTGGGATAAACACCTCTAATGTAACGCTGGTTGTTTAAATTTTAAACAAATTAGAATCACCTCCTATTATATAAAAATTCTGGATGGATTATAAAATTGTAAATTTTTTGTGGTAAATTTAAGGTAGTACCTTTACATTCAATGAACTTTCTTTTTAGAAAAAATAATTTGTCGGAAACGTTCATATGGATACTCAGGATTTGAGTTTAATTAATATGTATTTTATAGACCATCGCAAGTACACTTAATTGCCAGTTCTGAGGGTGTGCATGCATGCATAATTCATGAAAATATAGTTTATGATAAATTTTTATTAGATGTGGCTTTTATATCAAGAAGATTGCTTTTATATCTGACTTATAATTCGTACACAAGTTATCTGCTTGACATAAATTTTCCATTTTGCATTCCAAATGTCTAGCAACACCCTGTGAGTACCGGTAATTATACATCATGAACTTATTAAAGAATAAGTGGGTGGGGATTTCCAAATTACTTTGATATATCCATGAGCTTCAATGTTTATCTATTGCTAGAAAATACACTCCTTTTGATTACCATAGCCTGTCCTATTGACCACCTTGAAACACAGTTATGTAATAGTATGAACTATGTCTTAGATGTGTTTTTACATGTAACACATACATGTAAGCTTTTGCCTGTGTTCATGGCTCAAGTGCAATTAGATATCTAATATTCAATACAAATATCAAACAAAGATACATGTATTATTGAATTCATACAGTCATGCACATGCATTTATTTTATTCATAAACTGAAAATTACAAAAGGGATTTTCCACTTCTATTTATAGTCTGTGAACTGGAAGTACAATAGAAATTTTCCACTTCTAATTATAATTTATAGTCTTCATAGTGACAGGAACTTTAATACATGTATTAAAATGTCTTCCTACAAATGGCTGTAAGTAAAAAAAATTAACTTTTATCTTTATTTAATCAATACAGAATTCTTCAAATGTTTAAAAATCATTATAGAATTATGTATTTATTGAGGTGTTGTACATGCAATAAAAACAATGACCTGCAAGATTTAGACCTAATATACATCACTTAACTCAATATAACTTGGATTTAAAGTGTCAAACTTAAACATTTAAAAATTATAAAATGAATTTTTACACAATACACACACTTATATTTTGTCCAGGGACCTGGGTATACAGCATCTGTCAGAGTCTGTGTTTGTGAAACTGTGTCACATGGGGTCCTCAGAGACAGTAATCATGAGGAGAGAGATGATGGACTTCAAGGAAATGATAAGGAATCAAGTAATAAAATTAGGAAAAGAAGATATGTTCATGGACAGTGGGAGTCACAGAGAAGGATTCAGACTACAGGGGTCAGATGTGGACAAAATGATTTGGCCAATTGACCACATCGTTATATGGGACTTAGATCAGGCCCAGAATTATGACTTAAGTAGAAAAACACTGATTCTCTGTGATTGTTCTGATAGCCCACCAGGATTTGTTTTACTTGAACTACTGACACCAACACACGAGGAAAATGTAATGAATGCATGTATGAGATTAAATGACAGACTCTATATATTCAGTTCCAAATACAGACAGATAACTTGTTCAGCTGTTGAGCCATTAAATGCTACTGAACATGGTCCGTGTTTTAGTGGTGTTTTCCAGGGAAGAGAGTATGACTGTGCCCAATGTTTTGCCTGTGATTTCTGGCCTCCTCCTGCCTCCAAATGGATAGACAGATGCCACTCATGGCCCCTGTCTTATGTTGTTGATGACATAGTCAGAAATGGATGCCACTTTGTAGCAATAGGGAACAAACTAGGAAAGCACACAGACAAAGAATGGAGAATTTCCTTCTCTTTGGCAGAACAAAAACTTGTCTACTCAATGAACCATTGCCAATTATTAACCTATGGTCTGCTTAAATTGTTCTTAAAAGAGTCTATTAATCATGGATTAATCGATGAGGATAAATTACTGTGTTCCTATCAAATGAAGACGGCAGTTTTTTGTGTGATTCAACAAAATACAATACCTCATTGGTGTCCTCAAAATCTCCTGGAATGTTTCTGGGTCTGTTATAAGCTTATCCTTAAATGGGTATATGAGGGGGTATGTCCAAACTTTTTTATTCCAGAAAACAACATGTTTCTGAGTAATATCCATGGTAAAGCACAAAAGGATTTATTCATTAGGCTTCATGAATTGTATAAGAAGGGTTTAGTATCAGTACTGCTTCACATTCCAAGTATCAGGTCCAGTATTACAAGTGTCCTTCAAGATCCAAGACAATCTGTTGATACAGATAAACACATGCTGTTCTTCAGGATTGTTTTTGAATTAGATCTATTCTATGAGTTGTATTCAAATAATACACAGATACCAGACCTACAACGATGTATGAGGTTCTTCAATGCAGCAGAAAAATTGATAATTTTACCCCTGACCCAGTACCAGGTTCTTGTGTTACGGAGTTTTACAGCATGTGCACTCCAGAGCACTGCTTTTATGTCATACAACCTTTTAACACTTTTTGCGCCACTCAAGGTTAATACTACCTCAGTTGAAAACAAACAAGTGTATCTGGCTAACAAAGCATCCAGTTATATGCTGAAATTAGCATCCAAATTTGGGTGTATTTCTGATATGTTGTTTATTGTAATGTTTTACTACAAGACACTTAGATATAAAGAAGCTATATCAGTTATAGAGATGACAAAGGCCATATTAGCACAGCCGCATGTACCACTGTATATCAACGATATGGCTAAAGTTGTAGATTGGTACATGTACATGTTGAT